CGGTTCCTTATTCCTTGGAGCGTTTAATGGATCCATCATTGGTACCCAGATGAAAATCAAAACGCTGGTAACTCTTGCGTGCCGGAAACTCTCGAAGCTGAAGTTCAGTGATATAGAAATGGCGGTAGAATCACTCAGCCATCGTGATAATCATGTATATTGATGGTCAAATAAGATAAGTATGAACAGGTCAACACAACAAAACCAAAATGAGTGCAGCAGTAAACAACATCTTTGAATAGTGGTTCAAATTGTATGCGCAGCCGGTGTCGCCATAATTTTGGCGCACCCTGTACATGTAAAAGCGATAGCAGTTCCATAAAGAAGCATGTGATGCAGATATCCAACTTATGCTGAAGAATTTCTTAAAGATTTCTGAACTTCCTTCGCTTTGGTGATCATCAGGCTCTTTCAAACATTGTTTTCGCTATTTCTCGCTAAGCAACGTGCTATCTTTTCAATTTTGCAGTGGATGCGCTGCGAATCGACTGTTTCTCCACGCGTTGGTCGCGGAATACCCATTGGAGACCTCGTAGACGAAGGCTGTGCCAAGAACGATGATGGACTCGCCAGCGGAAATTCGCTAGGTAACATCTCTATCGCTTTATTAGCGAACCCACTTTAATCTAGGAGAGCACCCAAATTTGCGTGAATTGCTGATTGCTTGCAAATGTTTATGTTGCATTCAGACTTTCATTGTATGATAAAACAATATCGAAACCTCTCGTTTCGAAGAATTTTCTATCGCAAATATTACCAAGGTCAAATTATATCACTCTTCTGGTCGCTTAGATGGCGGATATTACACTGCGCAGAATTATAATACAGTGCAGTGCAAAATCATAGGACACACCCTCCTCCCGAGAATATGAACATCTCGACTTCTAGAAAACATCGTTCATCGCAACCTGTAAATCAGAATCGCCTTATGAAACCTACACTCACAAGTTAGCAGGTTATCTATTTAGTTTTCAGATAAATTTTTTAGTTTTGGAGCTGGTGCAAAATCATAGGACACCCCTCAGAACCCTTACTCTTGATTTTTTTTAATCTAACCAGCAATAATAATAGCACTTCTTCGGTGTACGGTAACTCTTCTGAATTACGCTTGAGTTGACTCCCTCCCCTTCGCGAGTGAAACGCCGAGTTTGTGTTTTATTTATTTATTCTATACGCTCGAAGTCGTGCCACAATCAGTACGAGAGTCAAGAATATATGCTGAAGGTGAGGAGGTACAAAAAAACAGAAGAGAAGAAACCAGAAAACACTGATATGGAAATACTGAATAGATTAAAGCGAAAAAAACGCAAAACGCAACTGAACAGAGAAGATGTTCTTAGAAAGAAAGATGAGCCTATGCCAAGCAGTTCATCTTGCTAGCAAGCGAAATGATGGCTATAAAAAATTGAGATACCAGGCTACCGTACTGACAATAGCTCATATCTCGAACTGTGGTACGAAGAGTAGCAGCATAGCGCTCAAATCTCATGCATTCAAGGTGCAAACGAGGATTTGTGTGCACTGACCACATCTAGACCAGCAGGTGCTGTGACACAGACCTGCATTCGTCGGCTAGAATGCACTCGCCACGTATGGGGTCATAGGGGCTTGCCGAAACTTCGAGACACGGGTATACCGACCACCCTCGTAGAATCGGCAGGCTAGGTAAGCGCCCAGATACCTACCGGTATATGTGCACAGTCCGCACAAATTGTACATGATCCCGAAGGCTGCTGATTTCCTTGCCATACCATTCAGGATAGTGAACAACATGGACCAAGATTAGAAAGGGAAAGCTACAATCCTGGAATCCAATTGTTGGCGAAGAACACCACTTGGCATAAGGCCACCATGATGCGAATTCAGTGGAAAGACAACCGCTCGTGAGATCATTCCATATTACCACTTATGACAATCGTTAATATAAAGGAAGAAGAAGCCATTCAACCACCGCCTGTGAGTTACGGTCACCACTCGCCGCATCGCTTTCACATCCACATACAGGGATGTGTACTGAGATATTGACGGCATAAGGAAGCTAACAAGAATCCTCCATACTCAATAACTGCAAAGGTTCACTTTTTCAACTTCTCTGAAACTTCGACCACTAGTACTTCGGTTGGCAGGCGTTGCAACCATCTTGCTCCACGATGTAGAACAAAATATGTAGTTGAGAACTATTCACCCTTTTGTTGTTGGCATAATGCAAAATGAAACCGCCTGTCCTATCACTTCCTGGTCTAAAAACCCAATACTTACTAGCAGGTAGCCTAAGTTCCATACGCAAAAGTCGAAAACAGAATACAAGGTCAGCAATGACTCGTCGATGTTTTAATGTTTTCAAGCCCAAGTGCTTCAGACGTTCTCTGTAACTGGGTAGCGTATCCCAAGATATACTTTGATATACTCGGTGGAAAAGTAATCTTGTGAAGGTTTGCTGTACAGTTTCTAGTCTGAGAATATGCTTCTTGAGGGTTAGATTCCAAATCTGTGAGCAGTATTCAAATGTGGCAGCACGTATGTATTGTAGAGACGTAGCAGAATTCTGACATCTTTCATTTGAGTGCTGCGGAAAAGAGAGAAAAGCGCAGCACAAGCCTTGTTCACAACTCGGCCAATGTGGTCTGAAAACGTTTGCCTTGAATCAATAAGGATGCCAAGATCCTTAGCTAATTCGCACCTCTTTAAGATGACGTCGCCAATTTTGTAGTCCCCTGGAGGGTCTGCACCCAAGTACAGGACAAAGGTCTTCCCTGGGTTGATATCAAGGTCCCACTCTAAGGCCCAGCAACTCAAGTTATCGAGCGAACGTCTGAGTGCAGTCTGGACAACGCCACTGCTGGCAGTATTCCGTATATTTTTATATCGTCAGCATAAAGCTGAATTCTGATGTTCTGCGATGTTTGAGAATAGGGGCTAAGTCCCTGGTGTAGATAAGAAAAAGTGAGGGAGAGAGTATTCCACCCTGAGGCACCCCGCTTGTGCAGCGACGCCGGCTAGAGAACTCTCTCCCCACCCTCACTGTCATATGCCTGTCAGATAAATAGGATGCTAACCACTTTAACAGCATTTGACCAAGTCCGATGGACTCCAGCTTTTGAATGAGTTTTGCGTGGTTGACCTCATCAAAGGCTTTGGACAGATCCACAAAATCACATCGATCGAGTTACTCTGGTTTAGTGCAACGTTCCAATCAAAACAGCTATCAACTAAATTAGTAGTCGTCGAAAAACCAGGAAGAAAACCGTGCTGCTCTCTAGGTAAAGACTTGGTTTTGAATAACCAAGAGAGAAGTTTTTCCCTAATGATGTTCTCCATAACCTTAACAGGAGTACACATTATACTAATTGGTCGAAAATCGGTTACCACATGAGCTCTGTCCACTTTAGGAATTCCAGTGACAAGGGCATCTTTCCAGACCTCAGGAACACCATTGATGGCTCTACCACGAGCATCGCAGCCATTTTTGGGAGTTCAAGGGGAACCGTACTTTTGTACATTAAATTCTCGACAAACAAACAAAACAGACATGCTCGACAGGCATTCTGTTTGAGAGCAGAGGAGAGAAATTCAATGAAAAACTGGGCCGAGGCGTAGCTTCACTGAACAAATGTTCAATCAATATAGTCAGCGTTCTGACCCTCTTCGACTTTTTTGGCAACAAGAAGGTTTTACTTCGATGGTCCATATGACGCTGTTCACTCGTAGAGAAACATATTCGCGATTCGACGATATTCTTTTAACGAAATTTTGTGGTTGTCTTCTTTCATGTGGGGATGCGAAACCTCATCCTGAGACCCAGACCTGAAGTTTTTCTTTACTGTAATGGGTTTACTAGAGCGCAGAAACGTCAGAGAAAACCACCTGTCTCTTTCCTTCTGCAAATTTTGCGTAAAAGGCTACATTTTTGACAAGAATGGCCAGCAGCTAGTGCGCGTCTGAAGTTGTCAAGGCTCACTTGGAGAACCTTTGCTAGCAATGACTGCGCAAATACTTACAACATCAACACAACTTCAAAGTTGAAGCAACGAATTCCCCACTGATGCGCAGCAGTTCGAATTAAATATGTATGATGATTTGCGGCAGCATTTCTTCTTGTGTGGATAGTGTCATCCTGATAAGCGGTTCCCTTTGAAATACTACAACAATAAGCCTTGGCGTATCTCTATATTTTTAGGGTTCTGAAAGAGAGGTGTCTAGTTTCAAGATACTAGTGAGGTGAACACTATGCTACTATCGAGACAGTAGTTAAGAACAAGTTTAATCGGAAAAAACAAAACAATAATCTGGTGCTCATGCACCACAGCGACACCCTCAATAATAATAAAAACAAAGAAAACAATCCTAGAGAAAATCCAAAAAAAGGCCATCGAACAATCTAGATGATTCCGCTGCGTATCGCTAGGCTGGATGAGTCGACGCATTGATCCGCGATCCGCACGCTTGTCAAAACTCGTAAGAAAATTTCGTTCTCTATCAATTGTGCAAGACGCGGGGCCCTACAATGATGACCGCTCCACTCGGTCAACCTACAGACCCATTTTTTAGCGCTTTTGCGTCAGCGCGGGCTTGGCTGCGCCTGATCCTTCACTGTTCCTTACGCTGGCCTCTTGTTAAGAACACCCTCCTCCAAAGCGAGTTGACTACGCTCTGTCGCAGTCGTCGACGCCTCTCCGTCTGGAAGTTCTCACGAGTACCAAACACATGAGAGGGTAGGGGCTCAAGGGAAACATTCTGCACCAAACGACGTGACAGATACTGGTAAAACGATCGCGCGTGCCGTTCTGGTAACCATCCTCTCTGACTATCTTCCATCACAGCTACTGCGTAATATGGCGCAGTAGGATTGAAAAAACGGTTCTCGACGGTCAGCTTATCCACCGTTAGGGGCAGTAACTCCATGTGATTCTCTAAGGCGCCAACTTTCTGGCTTGGGCTCTGTAGACGGCAAAACTACGACGACGTGAGCGTTGGTCATCAAACAGCTCCGTTTTCCAAAGATGAATATCACGGAATTGACGGTAGTAGAATATTATCGTGTCCTACATCCCGCTTCCAGCATGCTTAAGGCGATGCAGGCTGTCGGGACCACTATCACCATCCTGCGATGTTTACGGCCCACTGCGGGCTTGGCCATCGTACATGTCGTTAGCGTCGAAATCCTCCAACCAAGTTCAAAGATGTTGGAGATGACACAATTCCAACCAGTAATAGCGGCACGCCGTATGATGTCGTCAGCTGAAACCATACCAGCCATTACCGAAACATGGAGACACCTTGAGCGGAAGAACATAATACAAAGTGACACTCCGAGGTGTGATCCTTCGATGAAACAGGTCAGCGATCCATCCAATCTTTTCAGCGAGGGTTCCAAACCCTTGCTATATAGCAACCACGCGGGCTTCCTCAAGTATACAATCCGCGCGCTGAGCTGCGGTCGGCTAAGGGAGAGTTTCAATGATGATCGAAGCACTGCAGTCACACTTGGAAACGTCAAGTTGGCATTCCTTCCGCTATCGGCAAAGGTTATTTGGTAGCGGAAACGACCGCGAAGACGGTTTATCTCGTCTACAACAGACATCGAATTCCTTCTCTGTCCATGAATTCGAGGGTTAATGAATACTCTGTAAGCTGGTGGCAGACCCAACTGCCCTCTTATCCCTCTTTTGTTCACGCATCTTTCTTTTCTCGTTCAAGGCTTGTGAGCTTTCACTACCAACTCCTCAGGACACACTTGCGGTAGGTCCATTTGGATTTTCAATGACTCCTCGTTCCTATCACGGGAATCAGGGCGGAGGTGTTAGAAACTTTAAGGATTCGAAAAGATTCCCACATCAATTTTGGGTGTTTACTTTTCCCTTTCTTGATGGGTAGTTTCGTAAACACCCTTTCTTCCACCTTGGGAAGCTTAGCGACGTGTCTTTCATCGTAGTATTCCTTCACTTTCTACGATTAACCTGTGCGATCCTTTACCTCTTCGCGGATCAATTGCAGACAGCGCAATAGTTCCGTTTTGTAATCGTCCCGATCAATCTGGTACATTTATTCACCTTCTGGTATCACCTTCGACGGTACATACCGATCGAAACCGGAAACTAAGAAGAAAGGGCCCTCTCCGGTCGCCTCATGAGGGCTCGCGTTATATGCGTACACTGTCCCATGAGTCTTCCACCTCAACCTTTTTCTTTAACATTCTTTGAAGAGTTCCTATCGCACGCTCCGTATGATCGATATGTACCAGCGGCCATTTTCGCAAATCCAATGCCTAAAAAGGGACATGTCACTGTCGAAGCTTTCTTATCAGGGATGAACTGGGCGCCAATTCATTTCAAAAAATGATCAATGGTCGTGAGTACGTATTTCATGCCTTCACACTTGGACCCAAAAGATCCATACAGGCGTTTTTGAATGGCCTAGCAGCGACGAATGGGTTCGAATGAAAGACACAGTTCTTTCTGGTGCTAGCCAAAAAACATTCGCAACACTCTTTTTGCCAGTTCATGAGGTCTTTGTCCATGTCTTCCCTGAATACTTTCGCCTTTAACGTGTACTTTTCCAGCGGCAAGTCCAGCAAGAGAACCGCTGTGTGCTTCATTGGAGACTTCTCTTCCTTTTAATTTCTTGGCAATGCGGACTCCGTTGCCATCCTCCTTTATCACTTTTAAGTCACCTTCTTCCAGCGTAAATTCAATGACTTTGAGTCTTTCACTGACTCTGAGTAAAACAACTTCCTCGTTGAACCGTTAACCTAACCGCCGCCATGTTCTCAATGACGCTTGCACAATCTCAATCGTCTTTTAGCTCCCTCAGCCATGATGGTACGTTAACAACTGTAACAGAACGAACTGTTCGATCCTCCTACGTGTTAGCGCCTTTTTCCATGACACCTCTGGACAGCGCATCTGCTACGAGAATTGCTTTTCCTTTGACATATTTAATGTTTACTCGATACTGCTGTACCTCCAGTGTTAAAAAGGGCAGTGAGTGAGATGATGTGTCCGAATTATTACCTGCATTTCCGTTTACAAAGAAATGAGACTTTTCACGAGCAAGCACAACAGCCTAAGTCTCCGTACTTGAGATGTGGTATCTCCTCTCGACTTTGAAAAGGCTCTTCGATGCAAAATATAGGAGGTGTAAGAAACCGTCTTTTCTTTCCTGACACAGAACGGCTCCAATGCCTACATGGGATGTATCGGCATAGATTGCGAACGATTTTGCACCTGAACTCGCGCCTTCGACGTTAGGCTGAAGTTGGAGTTGATGAAAGATCATCCTTCGGTTTTTTGATCTCCTGCTCTTCATCCCTGCTCCATGGCGCCTTTTGGCTCATCATAAACATATATTGCTATTTTTGCAAATGTGCTGTTCCACTGCTAGTGTGCGTTAATCCAATTCAGGATAGGCCTGGCGCGTCAGCTGCTCCAGCTCCGCGCAGAAGTCCGATACAGTTTGATCATCCCTTTTCTTCAATTTCTTTGGAACTCCTAGGGCCACTACTTTGTCAGTACGATGCTTTACACTCGCGCTTTATGGCTTCGTGTCCGCTCTCCTTTTCATGTCTGGGTAACGATTCGTACTGTATCCTCTTTCCCGACCAGCTCGGACCGACATAACTCGCACAATTCAGCGTCTGACCAGCTCAATTTGGGGTATTTCAGCTGAAAGGCTTCCGAAAATCTTGTGAAACCATAACTCGAGTTCTGACCAGAGTAAGCCGCAACGTCTGCTAAAGGGCATGTACCACATATAGTCAGCTATTGGGTCATCCACCATCGGGGAAGCCCCATCCGCTCTCTGCCTTTGGCTCATACTCTCATCACTTCCACTCTCGCTCACTTCACTAGCCGAACAGCGTACATTTCCTTTTGTCGAGACGTTACGATGTGAGCAGTTCGACCACACTTCTGCTCAACTCGGCTCCGGCTGTTCAAGATGCTCGCGCCCACAACTCTGGAAAAGAGAATCGTTTTTCCTAAACAAGGGATGTTAGGTTCCATACCTGGCTTCTCTGGGTTTGGGCAATCCAATTCTTTCCCAGCAACACAGAATCCTGTTTCTCAAGGGTCTCATTCTCATCAACCAACTGGAATTTCTTTCGGTATGCCGCTTCTAATATTTCTTTTCTGGCTGCCTCTCGTCGCATTTTATCAAACAACCTAACGAGCTCTGCCAGGGTTTCGACAAACTTGTGGCGACCCCCACAGCCTGCTGTACCACTGCGTCTGCTCATCGCACTATTCAACTAGGTTTGCTTGCTCTAGGGTCCGAAGCCTCTCGACAGCCTCTTCCGTTTTATGGCCTTTCGCCTAGGATGGCAAGCGCTCATACGCTTAGCAACCTCTATCATCATGATGCTGATTTCCTTCACCCTCTGAATAGCGTCACACCTCACCTGAGGGCTTGCAATGGTCTGCTTCTCGGCCTCGTCCCTCGAAAACAGTTGACGAACGACCCTCAGACTCGCCTGCAACAGGCTCAAATGCGGATCCTTCCCGCAGCTCTGAACATTGAGGTTCAACGTTGTCGCACCTTTCCGTCGTGCTTCTCATTGTCTCTTAATCCTGCAAAATTTGAGTACAGGTCCCCCCCCCCTATCCTTTTGTGGTCACCGTGACTGAGAACCACCGCACTGCTCAAGGGGAGATGCGGCTCTCGCCAACTATCTCTTCATAGCAGTACTGCCAGTACCGTGCTAACAAGGCTTCCCTCGTGATAACCAGCACAGCGCAAAAACGCCGACAGAGACGAGAACCCACCATTAGGCAGAATATCGATACGATGGACTCAGAAAATCTCGTAGAGACCAGCTGAAATCTGATATGGTCTGACGTGCTCTGATAGATGAGGTCAAAGGTAAGGGCGAAATTTTCTAATTTGATTCCCAGCCCTGAAAGCGGGAAATGGGAAAGTAGGACGATTTGGTGAATTAAAGTCTGTGATCACGATACCGAAAGCGGTGCCACAAATGAATCCGATGTCGTCATAAAACTGCACCGTCCTCCATCCATTGTAACCGCTGCCTTCAAATTACAGGCAAACTCTGGGCTAAGACTGGTGTATAAGAGCGATTCGTAGTGATGAATGAGCTGCAATGTGATCTGAATGTGAAACAAAAACAAGAAAAACCGTCGAAAACGCTTAAATTAAGGGCTTGAACTTCCACTAAAGTCGCATGTGGTAGGAGGGGGAGACAGATGACCAGAGAAGACTACACGCGAGAGTGCACGCCTCATGAAAGCGGCTTTTCAAGGCACTAGAGCCAGAAAAAGGCGGTATATAGAGATGTGCGCATAGCTGGCTTCATAAGCGAAGCTTCGCCCGTGATTCGATGAGTGTGCATTCGACTGGGCGGGGGGGATGCTTGCTATAAATGTGTCGCAAATTCGTTATAGAAAAAAGCGTGAATGAAATCAAGCGAAGAAATAATTAAGAAAGTTTTGGTGCTACTCTGTTTTCTCTACAAATTGTCAACCCCTTCACCACAGAAGGATTCGCTGGTAATATCAACACAGCAAGGCTCACCTATTGAATAGCTTTGCTCAATTGCCCTCTGCTTCAACTATTAATAATCCACAAATTCGAAGAGATGCTGGTGTTTTCGTAGACGAAATTTCTTACCTTCCGCTGAAAGCTATGAAATTCGCTACAGCTGCTGCTAGACGGGTTGTCTTGTAGCAGCTGTAGCGAATTTCATAGCTTCATCTCGTCGATGTGATTAGATCGTATAAGATGCGATGATGTTTCAGAAGCCGTCATCGTTAAGCTAGTGCCAAGTGCGAAAGCGCACGCAATATTTTCGTTGTTCGATTCCGATAAAAATTATGTGTTTAAAAATAACTATTTTGACAGCTCAGCAAGATCGGATCGTTATGAGTCCCTAAAATGATTTTGAGCATGAGCTCAATGAAGAATAAACTTCATAAGGTAGCACGAAACAGATGAGCAGATGTGAGCGGTTTACGTGTTAGCCCAATAAATCCCTACCTGTTTTAGAATGTGACGGTGGAGAACACAGCGATGACCTATCGTGTATTGAATGTGTAAAGGAGACGAATAACAAGAAGCTGAAGGCTGAAAGAGTATGTGTTTTTGCCAGGCAAATGCTACTCAAATCAATTCTCCAAATGTATTATCTTACGTTGCCGTGATCACACAGTTCATTCGTGGATCCTCATAAGAGAAGCCCTCGTTTTCGAAGCATTCATAATTTCTGAAACTTTGTTTTATCTTCGCGCATATCGACGAGTTATAGCTCTGTTTCTAGTCAACGAAATGCGTTCCCTACAATACCATCCATATTTCTCCTTTGCTTCCAATTTCATTGTGACAATCAACTCGAAATGAGGAAGACCTTCTTACTAAGGGCGCTATAACAGAGCGCACTCTCTTAAAGCAAGGGATTATGACAAAATTGTGTACAGCATGGAACTACATGCACCAGTGGAACCAGTAGTCAGGAGCGGAAGGAAAAGTGTAGCTATTTTGTGGCCGAAGGCGCGCTGATTCAGCTCCCTGGGGCTGCCAATCCTTTCTAAGCTGCGCCCATGACCGTTTTGCTAGCAGCGTCATTGTTCTTATCATTTGGATGAGGTATTCTACTTCGAGCGCGTATTATAGCGCGTACTATAGCTTTCCTATTGGATGCGTTATCAGTGGAAGCATGGTCTCTGCTGATGGTGGCTATGGCCGATGTCATAGTTTAGGAATCGAGCGATTCGCTAGCGAATTGCTGGATCCGAGCGTTGCGTCAGCGAATCAAGCTTTGCGCCAGCCAATCGAACTATGTACCAGCGAGTCGAACTAGGTACCAGCGACTCAATGGTGGCGGGACCCAACGTTTGAAGGAGACCCGCCACTTTCAAACAGTGTCACTTGACAGTGGACTCCGTTCGAAAGTGGCGGGCTTCCCTTAAACGTTGGGTCCCGCCACTGTTGAGTCGCTGGTACCTAGTTCGACTCGCTGGCGCAAAGCTCGATTCGCTGGTGTAACTTTCAATTCGCTGGCGCAACGCTTTGATCGCCAACGCAATTCGCTAGCGAATCGCTCGATTCGCAAACTATGACATCGGCCTATCAGATCAACATGTGCCGACCTTCTGGTTGGTTGCTGGCTCGTCCAATATCGAAGGTGAAGGGAACGGGATGCCCTATTTTGCATGTACTTGACGGATTCCTTCACTTTTTTCGCCATAGGAGCATTACTCAGCATTCCCCCTTCCATAGGTCCCAACCCATTCTTATCGTGATCCCTCGATTTGAGTAGACACTGATCTAAATCTGTAAAACCACTCATGTTGTCAACCATCCTGTCCACTCTCCTTCTGCAGGAATTTACACTTAAATTCTTCATTAATTCTGTATCGAAAATGGCGATTTATTTCCTACGGGTTGGAACGTTAAAAAAAATCCGTTGCAGAAGCATGAGCACATTCGCCGGCCGATGAACGCCTTTATGATATTTTCAAAACGGCATCGTCCAATGGCGCATAGTAAGTATCCGAATCGCGACAACCGGACTGTCTCGAAAATTCTCGGTGAATGGTGGTACGCTTTAGGTGCAGACGAGAAGCAACAGTACCACAAGCTTGCTACGCAGGTACTTCTATTTTTTAACTACCATCTTGTTACTTGCTTGTTTGTCTACTTGTTTTCACTGATTTCTCCACTATTCCTTGCTTAGGTGAAGGAGGCGCATTTCAAAGCTCATCCTAATTGGAAATGGTGCGCAAGGGACCGGAAAGCGCGATCGGCTGAGGCTTACACAAATGCTCCACAATCACAAAGGGTCTGTTTTTTTTTCTCGGTAAAATGCATTTTTCCATCACACTGGACCTGCTCAATGTGCTGATATGAATCGTTTTCGGTTTGTTACCACGGCATCCACCAGCATTAATCTGTGGTTTTCAGTCGAATGTTGACCCCTGAACACTGCCAAGATCCGCTCATTATGTTCTACGAAAGAGTACTGAGAATTTTTCAGTCGTTCGAATTCGACTTGAAAGCAGCAGATGATATGGCAATGACTTGTTCGGAAGATGGCTACAACGGCAGTCTGAGTCCCACAACTGTTGTATGACATTATCTATTACAGTAATATACATATAGCAATTAACAAAATGAGCCCTATATGGTGAAAAGCTGCTATCTCTGAGTGTCATTTGATGGTGGCATTATTGCCGAAAGCTCATCAATAAAACCAAGAGATTTGAGAGAATGCTCATCGAACAAAATTCAGATCTTACCTCGAGCAACTTCATTGCGAGGCGAAAACTTGGATATTAATTTGGAATCGCCGCTGATAAGTCCGACCGTCGCGGGAATGCAGTCGTTCCTAGCGCCGAAGTTTGTTTATTATGGTTTTGGCACAACTCAAAAGAGACATTGGTGGCGTATATATTGGGTTGACTCATAATTTCTGGCCGAATTTGAACACTTTGATTTATTCAAGTTTTATCATTCCTGAAGAACAAATGATCAAAAACAGAACCACCATCATGATCACTGATGATCGCTGTGAGATGAAAAGCTCGAAAAGGTCGTTGTTAGGGTGGTTGTATTTACTGATTTTTTGGTGCTAGCTTAGTTGGGGGGGGGGCACGCGCGGCGCGGCAGTCTGCTCACCTGGGCTCTCTCGAGCGAGACAGTGTAAAATCGAACATTCCAGCTTTTCACGCATATCAAGTGACTGCCTCCACCCCCACCCCCCTAGACTGCCTACACTCCCCCTGGCCCACGGATTTCCGAACATGCCAGGCGAGCAGACTGCCGCGCCGCCGCGTGCCCCCCTCCAACTAAGTTAGCACCGACTTTTTTCCTCTTCTAGCAGCTGCTTCAGATGGCTGTGGAGATGATAGTACGATAGAGGAACGTAAGGGCTACACGAAAGATGTGTTGTCGTGGTCCAGCCAGTTTCCCTCGAAACATGGCGAGTTATCTTTTCAATGTGATTTCGGGCGGTCATCCGGATAAAGGCGATTTTGAGGCTTTTCCAACCGTCACATCCTCTTATGAAACAGCTCGGGTTTTGGTTGATGTGCTGCGTCCAGGTTGCGAGCTAGCCACCGGGCGAGCCGCGTGGTGTTATCGCAGGCGACTCATGACCAGGGTGAATAAGGATTTCCTCGACCATGACTCTCTACCGTGCGAGAGTAGTGCCGAGAGTGAACATCCGCGCGGAGGGCACTGACGGCACGCACATGGCGAGTGTGAATGTTCGCGCGAGAGACCGTGTCTTATCGGGCAGAGAATCCTCGACGTGCCGTTGAGGAATCCTCAGCGATATTCACCCTGCTCATGACTCATCTGCACTGGTGACCAACCAGGGGATGTCTTGTCTATACGGTTGCAGAATGAAAGTTCTGCAGATGGTCAGGCGTGCTTCTCGGTCATGGTCACTCTATGCATGATGTTTCCATCGAGACTTCATTCTACTGCAGCCCATTCCATTCAGGTGTCGACTCATGGAGCGTAGGCTGCTTCCAGATGTTTGCTACAGTTTTCTGCTAATAGCGTCCGGATGCGCTTCTTGTTCGTAGCGCAATCGGTCCTCATCGAAAGTGATTGGGGGTCCATTATGAGCCTGAAGGTCCTGATGTGTTCTTCAACATATTAGCTTATTCCATCATGAAGCTAATTTGACATGAAGAAAATTGAATTTGAACCGAAATCGGCCAGAAATTATGGGTTAACCGAATACAAGAAAATAAATAACCATTAATATTTTTAGCAGCACCATCCCTTCTTCGCCGGTAATCGGCACAGCCTTCGACCTCAGCTTACTGCGAAATGCAGTGGATGGACAGGTATATCAGCTTTGATCCTAATTTTGCTATAATTGGTAAGCACTTAACATTTTCCATAAAAATCAAAGAAAATCTCGAAGGCTCGAAACGTGCCTCGCTACTCAACCACTCAAGAAGACCAGGCTGAAAAGTTAGACAGCCCATTCGCTCAACGCGCTTCATCGCAAGGATCCAAGAAGCTTCCTTCAGAGGATCATTTTCTCGCGATCTGACATCGCTGTGCTTCTTTTGTTTTTCCGCCATTCTCACAGTTGTCTGGCCATTATGGTGCCAAGGGCGCCCAGTTCGTTAACAGAAACGAACCTTCTCTTCTCTCCTTCTTTTTATCTTTACACCAACGGCTGCGGTCTATCGTCAACGATTTCGGAGTTTAAACCGCAAAAGTTCAACTTAGTCCAGATCAGATATGTTTGGGGTTTTTGGTGGAAACAGGGTAACCGCGGGAGGAAAATGAGGAAATCAGCTGTAAACAGATTGACCGCAGCACTTTCAAGGTTTGAGGAAAACCAAACAAGAATTACTTCTTCCAATAATGCTCTACAACACATTTCGGGAAATATTCGAGAAAAGAAAACTCGACCAAGCAGTTTTTTTTACTTTCGCTTTATAGCTTTAAATATTGCGATCAAACGATCAGTTGCGTCTCTATCTTGCAATTTCTTCGAAACAGATTTTGAGTCAACATGTTCTCAAAATTGGCAGCCACTCTTTCTTCAATCAGAAGTTCATAGAATTTTTCTTGAGAAACTGCCTTTTCGTACACAGGCGAAGAGTTGTACCAGCGCGTTCCAAAGTCATAAGATAACCCGCTATTTGGCATCTCCAACGAAGACAACTGGGATTTTTATAGCATCACAAACGGCTTAGTGCATTGTGTGGGACAATGGAACCCAGTAGTGGGTGCCATTTGAAATATTTTCAACATTCTCTTTATTGTTTATTTAGTTAGTTAGTTTTAGTTATTTACTATTGCACAAATGAGACAATGCTATATTAAATGGGGAACAGCAACACAATAGGGTGTAAATATATAAATATATGCATATATACAAGTACAGCAAATTAATACGGGAAGCTTAGGATAATACAGGAGTTCAAAGTAAAGTCACATTTGTACCACTCAGGAGCTGTAAACGTGAATGCTAAGCCGCTTGCAAACACTTTAGGCGGCGCTGGATTCGAACCCCAGTGAGATTCATTGCGAGTGCACGCATGAACGGCGGCACTTCGCTCTGCGCTATGGAGGCGGCTGGCACGCACCCATTCCAGCAAAGTTGTGTGGCAGCGGGGTAGGCGCACCTGCCGTCACGCGATAACATTTCCAAAACTCGTCTCCGGAGCAGCCACCCGGCACTTGAGATACCTACATAAATGATCCTGAAACATCCTAGTATGTTTCCATCTGGAAAAATCTGGATCAAGTTTGTTCCAAAGTGAAACCACTCTGAACACTTATTAGCAAGCTCCATGATGTCTATGTATAGCATGTTCAGAAGTGCTTCTCAGGAGCTTATTTACTCCGAAACTCCAGTGCGTGGCATTTAGCTCGGCGGCATTTTGACTGAGGTTTTGCATTATATACCAAATATTAATTACTGAGAATTTACCGTACTTTTACAGTCTTCGGACACCAGCAGAAGTTTGAATTGCATTGATAGTTTTCATTATACATATGAACCTGTCGAGTTTTTACCCTCCATCCTTTTATTAGGTCGTGAAGAAAGTTCTTGCGCTTTTCGGCGTTTCTTTTTTGAACGCTTTATTTTGTTACGAATCCAAGCAAGGTGCCTAAGCTGTATGTGTTTTTGTAGAGCTTCATGTTCTATCTAAAAGTTTGGCTAGCTATGTTCCTTATTATTTAGTTATCATTTTTTGAAGCCTTGAATACGCACACTCCAAGAACAAATTTGCATGATTTCCTTTTTCTAGCTGAAAGCAGGCCACTGTGGAGAGGGAGCAGGTCAAGATATTATAGACGCGCTTGGCGAGATTAGGCAATGAATATGGTCTGAAGCAATTGTTCAAAAAGCTTTTGTAAGAATAGCGAGAGCCCCAAAGATTGTGAAGGTGGTGATCGGAGAATGAACAACGCCAACGATAAGTCGAACGTTTTGGTTGGAGCACGTTTGCACAAATCTATTGAGAGGGTTCCTCCTAAAGTAATCGCACTCGTATTGTGCTTCTTCGTTGTACGGGAAGAGCTGGAAAGTCCCAAAAATTCAAATGGGGCGTGCCGCGACAGCTCACCATTTTGAAGAGTCGTTCGCCGCGTTCTAGCTTGTTTCATGCCATGAAAACGAGCTGACTTTTTGGTCATTTGCGACGCACGACAAAGAACGAATTCGTTGCTACAGAATACGAATCCTTGGTGAAGTGATCGACCGCGATCAGGTTATAAAAACTTCGCAAAAGTGAAACTTCACTGAAGGAAGGTTGAGGTGACCTTCATAAGGTGAGCTGCTGTCTAACTTTTCGTAACCAGGTGGATCTGTTAATGTGGAAAAAGTACTTCTGATAATGTGTAAAACTACTCCTGGAACTCTGGCACATATGCTCGAAATTCCTCATTATAAAGGAATCGGCTCTTTTCTGACAGCTAGCTCAGATGCACATTCCACAGTCAACCCTGCAGAAGTTGGACAGGATTGGTTACGAATTAGTCCTGCGAAACCCAACTTGGTAGACCACTTGCCTATAATTTATCACTTTCTCGACTACCTGGATAGCATCTCCAAAGAGTTATGCTTCAAAAACCAACGTGATGAAGAAACGACCTTCACCGGGTTCATCGTCTCTAGAGCTCCAGTATTCTGCACTACTGGGCTGATTTAACGCAGTTGTTTCTAACGGAGGTTTTTGGATTTCATCAGTCTTTACTCCTATCAAAAAGGTTTCGAATGAGCCGAGATACAGGCATTTGAAAATCAAGGGAAAAAAGCGCAAGGACTTTCTTCACGACCTAATAAAATCCGAGTTCCCTCTCCAAATATTTAATTCTCTCACCAACGTTGTGCAGTACAATATGAAAGGAATGTTCAAATCTGCAGCTGTAAAAGCCAAAAATTGAAAACTGTGAGACAATGTTTCACAAGAGCTGTGTTGTGATCAAAACTTTCGCTCCAGTCAGGACTCGAACCCGCATCTTCTGCATACCTGGGTGCGCTACCAATTACGCAAAAGTGGCACCCTTTCATCCCAATTTAACTGTTATTGTTTGCTAACTGCTGTTTTTAGCCGTTCAGTTCGCCTTGCGAATGGTTTACAAGAAAACGGTCGTTGCCGTTATCTGCTATAGGCTCAACACGCGAAACGCGTAAATGCCGCAAGCTATTGTAAGTACCATGAAGTGCTGAGTTGGGATGAAATGGTGCCTGGTAGCGTAACTGACAACCCACTTGCCCGACTAGCGAGGTGCGGATACGAGTCAGGTCTGGGGCGGTAGTTTCGCCACAACCCAGCATTTTTGTGGAATATTTGCAAGGCAATGTGCGGCTAAGAACAGCAGTTAACAAAGAAAAAACTGGGATAACTTTGCACAATGATGAGAGAGATTTGGACTTGCCAAAAGAGGTTTCATTCAATGGATTCTCTACGTCCAAATCCGCATTGTCGCCATGAGTTGTGTGGCTTGTTTCAGTTCTTTTGTAGCGGTGCTCATCCACATGGCACTGCAAGACGAAGGTGTCAAGGGATTTTTCATCGAAATGCGACCAGGACCATTGACTAACCTATTGAGAACGTCTGGGTCTTGAAAGCGCTACACTCTTCCATTGAGTTGGCACCAAATGACACCACCACCAAGAACCGATGTCATATTTATTATGCTTGCAAAAAACCAGTACAAGTAGGCGCTCCACCACGAAAAGTGGTGAAAGTTGCAACACAAGAACGGCATCATTGTCGTCGAACAACGTCAAAGGTGTTCGAAGTGATCCGGAGCTAAAAATGAGTGTCACATTCGTAATCAAACCATCGACAGCCCTTGTAGTCAAAGGTTTCAAGAAAATCAAGATTTTGACTAAACTTCTAAAAATTGCTCCACGAGTCAGTAAACCCTGTGGTACGTCAGGGTTCAGCGTCGAACTTCCTGGAAATGATCTCTTTTAGATCCTCCTCATGAAATGAAAAAATTCCTACCAAACAGACAGTTGCACACACCCAAGCTGATGATCGTCGGGAGAGGTGGAGGGGCCACCCACAACGCAGTATTTTTCTGCTAGTTTTCCGCGCGGAGCTCCAAGAGGCTGGGGCTTGAAGACTTAACAGACTGACTTATGTCTGGTGCAAATTTCCAAAGTTAGGTCAAAAATGCGATTTCTCTGGAAACAGTGGCTATAGAGAAAAGCAAGAGCTTTGGTTATGAATGTGGCATTGTTTATTGGAGCCGCCGCATCTGGCATCATCTCGACGTTACAACATTTGATTGTTGTTGGTGAAAACCTAAATCGTCAGGGTCCTTAATGGCTCTGGTTTTGAATAAGATATCCATTATGGCACTAGTGCAATTGGAAGCCAATCTGGAGGTGCGACAAGAAAACGCAAAAACCTAAGGCCTCGAGGATTCGATCCATTAAACCCGACCAACCGTGGAAATTGAAGACTCCTGCGCTAACCACTACACCACAAAGTTATAGCAGCATCTGGGTCGAATGGTCCTATGAAACTTCCACACGCTCTTCAGTACATAGGGTGACATCACTAGATAATTTGTCAAATTTAATCGCAAATTTTAACACTAGCAGAAATTCTGATTGAAACGCCAAAAAATTATGCTAATTCTTTGAAAAAATCGCTCTTCTCATGCCTCATCTTCGTTGCATTTCATTTTTGATTAACGGAGCTGGTAGCAATAGAATTGAAGATTTTGGCAGGTCCCAGTAGATCTCCATGTTGCGGTATGCACTTGCACCCGCAACGTCCTTCTTGTTTTGGTCACCGCCTGTCAGTGGGAGTGGCTTTCCCCTCGCTCGGACCGGCAGTTAAGGTTTTACCGACAGCTGGAGCGCCGTCCACGAGGGCCGATCCCGCTGACAAGCGAGCGCCGATCGGTCTCTACCCTTATTACAGTTAATCCGTTGTATCCCATTGATCAAATAAATATATAAATCAACTGGTTGTTGAAAGAAAATAGAAAGGGCCGCGACACTCCACAGCAGCAAATGTGAAGGGCCTATTCATCTCTTCAACACGTTGTTTGAGTTGCTTTTGCGTTTAGTAGTACTTGTTTATTATTTCCGTTCAGCAGCCTACAATGCGGTCGCCATCGCGCATACTTACACCACCAATGTTTGAGGCGATATCACCGACACGATCACCAACAGTGTCTCCGAACCTTCACAATATTTGTTTGGTTCGTCACTATTTCATAGAATACTTTCTAGTTTATCCTCACTTACAAAATGTAATCTGTGTGGTCACTGCAATCATTCATGAAAGAGGAGAGACCTTCTGTAAATCGTATCGTCTTCGCTCAACCACCAGGACGGTTAATCCTCGCGGATACACTTTTGTTAGACTCGCTGTTCTTCTTTTATCCATACATCTTGCCATGTGCTCATCTCATGTTGCTTCTTTCGATATTTGCAAGTGACAATCTCGTCTTTCTGACCAAATAGGTCGAATTTTCTTTCAACCGTACCAATGTTTGCCATATCCTAAAAACCACAAATAGCCTTTATAATTTAAGATAGTCGTTTATGAACTTGTTAAGCCTTCAAACGAGCAGCTACCGTCATCGACCACTACCCGCCTACCTCCAAATTTATTCATATGCTTTCATCAGGGCAGCATTAGGCAGTCCTTTCGCATTCGGCGACCTTCATTCAATTGAACATGGACGCATGGGCATATTTCCACAGAATTTAGTTGTAAGTCCGCAGTCCGTTGTTGGTCAGTCCATCTTCTAAGTAGTCATAGGAAGAATCCTTCTAAATAGCTATAGGAAGAATGCACGATAAGAATGAAGGTCGAAGAAGGAGGTATTCACCTAGTTGAGAGACTGGCAGACCTCCTGAGGGTGCGGAATGACGCGCACTTGACACCGAATGATTTGACGTCGACGACCTGGCATATTGTTGACGCGCTCGGCCTGGTCCCACCGGCCATCTAATCACTCGCCGCAGGTCTATACCTGGCGAGGGATTAGATAGCAGAGAGAGCGCAGTGTTGAAGAGGGCACATTGATGGGAGTCGTATCAATGCACAAATCCATGCAAGGAGGGGGTCCCATTCTCGGGTTCTGGGCCAATTCTCTGGTTTTTCCTTCTTTCATGTACGATCCTCCATCCTTAAGTTGATGTGGAAGTGGTTGCTTTTCCATCGTGAATTCTGTCTTTAAGTCAGTGGCAGCCTTTTTTGAAAATCGATTTTGGACAGTATTTGGCTTAATTTCCTACTCCTTGTGGATGTGGAATATTATGTGTATTACCAAAGAACGTGTAAGTCGAGGGCAGGCACGAAGCTGTATATTTGTTGGAGAATTTGTTTCTCTTTCTCAGGTAGAAAAAGTTATCCACAGAATTCTCCTCCTCTTGCTCGTTTGATATCATACAGTATTTGCGTTTGGATATCTCATCAAGTTTTTCTTTTATGTTTATAAAGAACGAGGTAAAACTACAGTAACCAAATAATTGGGACGCAAAACGTGTCTGAACCATGTGGAATAGTGAAACAAGTTCTGTAAACTCCATTTTGTAATTGAGAGTATGCACTGCGTCTTCACACAATCATGTCTATTAAATATTGTTCAGAGTGCAAATGTGAGTCCACGGTCTGAAGATTCGGCTGCTTTTGCACTCTCTCAGTTGCAGTACTTCACCATATCCGAGCATACCATTACTCCGAGCGAACATATAGAGGACGACGCAGCGGATTCGAAGTTTGTTCCATTTAAGTTACTTTTCAGTCCAACCTATCAAGAAAGTCAGTTTTGAGTTTTGATCTCGCCAATCGATTCAAATTTCGATACAGGATTCCGAATATCACTTTGTTATGAAGCCACACTGAGTCGTATGGCATCTCTTAATCAACACCAGGGTGGACCACGGTCGATGATCCTTTGGTAGAGGATCGTATTTGATTTTAAAGGAGGGGTGAGGTCGTATGAGGGACTCGCGGGAAGAGGTGTCGTGCATGGGAACAATGAGAGATGATTGGAAAATGGAGCAGTGTTCGCTTTTTGTTGGAATGTCTTAAAACTACTAGGCCACGCTTGCGAATAAGAACCCCACTCAAAATTGCGTAGAAAAGTAAGCTTGACAAGAAGGCTAAGTTGAGATTAACTATACATAGATATATCAGGTGTGCAGTAAGTTTTGATACTTTTTCCCAAGGTTAAGTTTTTCAATTTCTGCGAAAACTGACCTTAGTTGTATGAATATTGGCCATAACAACCTGCGGGGGTTTGCCAAACACGAGATACGGAAAAAGGATGCCTACAAGGCCCGCAAAGCGTCGGTGTAATTTTGGGTCTCCGTCAATCGTCAAAATTTCCCTAACAATCTCTGAATTTAACAAGCATTACAAGACAAATATGAAAAAAACAGCGCTGGCTAGCCACTTGAGGCAGGAAAGGTGCTGCTAAGCGGGCTCGAGAACCTTTTTCTGACTCATCTAGATTGTCGCCTTGTGATGTTGTCCACAAGCCCGATGTCAGACTTTGCGAGTCGCGCGATTCGCTAGCGTACGCGGTCACGTTGCGGTGCCAGCCAAATGAGTGGTTTACTCGCCGCGACGCGACCGCAGACGTTAGCGAATCGCGCGATTCGCAAAGTCTGACATCGGCCTAAGAACGAAGACTGTTCTGCCTCTGATGGCCACGGCAACGAATTTAGTCCCTCCTACAATCTGAGAGGGAGGATCACGACCATCATCGTGTTGCGATTTGAACCATGGTGTAAGATTAACGTTCACGATGGACTACGATTAATTAACGACATCCTGCCTCCGAATTAATGGCTTTCGACCTCGTTTGTGGCTCCTCGTTAGTTCTAATCACTGGTGTCAGTGTCTTACTGAAAAATGCCCTCTTCTCATCAACTTTTGTAATATCGGATGCAAGTGATGCTAACAAGGCAGAGGTGTCACCACGGCGTCTGCGCACGATCATCCCCACCCACCACCTTGAATCCTGTTCGCAGATCAATGTTATTTCATTTCGTTGATACTGAAGTGTGGGACTTTATTTTCGTACTCGTCCTCTGTTTCCCTTTTTTGTTGTAATTCACAACTCCACTGCTTTTAAAGCAAAATAACACATCACTTCGATCGCGGACCTTGTATCAATCTTCTGCACATGAAAAATATAAAATGATCATTATGAATGTTGCTCAGAATCAGCGACTACAGAAAATCGCTTCTTCTAACAATATAGCAGTAGTGAGCGACAGCTGTGCAGAATGGTATACTGCAATAACTACGACGAGGAACTACGAGTGTTGTGACCTAAGAGCAACTTCAGCAATCACCCATCCCCCTCAATAATCACTCAGTCCCAGTTGGCTTGGGATTATCGCGTTGACGACATCGCGTGTTTTGGCATTTTGCACCGCGTGGTACAGGAGCGATTTTGCGAGCGCGCCGACCTCACCTTACTTCCGCTTATTTTCTGTTAAAATGCCCCACCTGAATCTCATTAGGGTTATTTCGGCAAGGACGAAATCGTGGAGATTACCTATATAAATAGCAGGAGAATTTTGTTTAGAAGGACGCATAATGACCACGAAGAAGCAAAAAATATCCACTTTTGCTGCGAATGAGACGAAAGTTTACCTTAATTTTTCCATCAAATACAAATATCGTGAAACTCAGAGAGTTTTGTACTAACTTCTGCTACAATCTTTCATATGAATGTTTACGACAGTGAAAAGAAAATTAGGGAAGAATTGAACTGAAAGTCCTGTAGGTTTTAGAAAATCTTTGCTAAATCAAGGCATATTTGACCGCTCTGGCGGCCATGTGGTTTATAGTTATGCTAATGTTCTATCTATGGAATCACCTGTATCACCTGTCGTCCCGTTGATCGTCGATTTGCTGCGGGCGCCAGCAACGTCTCCATTCGTCCCTGTCGCGGGCTAGGGTGGTCCAGTGGATCCTCCTTGCTCGAGGGACACGGAGTCCATCATTCCTTCGTTCAGAGCTTTCGCGAAGAAGTCTGACCATCGGGCCTGCAGTCGTCCAGGTGTTCGTTTGACGTCCCGAGGGATCCAGTCGGTAACCGCTCTGGTCCAACGGTCATCGCAAAATCGCATGACGTGTCCGGCCCACCTTATCTTCGATTCCTTGGCGAAAACGGCAGCGTCCCTGATCTTCGATCGTTGGCGTAGTTACCAACTCCGGATTCCCCTCTGCACTTGCGTGTATAGGGTTGCTCCTAGCATCGTCCTCTCGACAGCGCGTTGGATAACGCTGACCGCATGCTCGTTCTGCCTGCGCAGAGTCCAAGTCTCTGAGGCGTAGGTTAGGGCAGGAAGGACGCGTAATCGAAGGGTCGGGCACTGGAGTCGGATGTTCTTCGTCTTCTTTCCTACTCCCTCGATGTTCTTGTACGGTTCCCAAGCGCTCGTTTCCTCCTGCTCAGCTCTGGAGCTAGATCGTTCATCATATTGATTTTCCGACTAGGTACCGTAGCTGGAGCATTCGGTGATGTTCGTTCCGTTGAGCGTGGAATGGGGATCAGAAACCAATCCGTTTCTAATAAAATCGTCTTCGTTAGGTCAGCTGTAGACCAACCTTACCACAGGGCATCGAAATCAGCAGCAATCGCTCTGCTTGCTCGATGTTCGGCGTAAGAACGATGTCGTCAGCAAAACAAAGGTGGTGTAGTTGCCGGCCGTCGACCTTCATCCATGTCTTCCCATTCCAGTTGACGCACGACGTTCTCGAGAGGGCGGTGAAGAGTTTGGCGAGATGGTGTTCGCCCTTTCGGACCCTCTCTTGACGTCGATGATGACCTTCTTGCTGAATGTGAGATCCTGGTCGTAAAGTTGCTGTAGAACTCACGAAGAATCTTGATGTATGAGTAGAGACGCCCTGGTTGCCCAAGGCTTCGATGACCGTTTCTTCTCCACAGAGTCGAAGGCTTCTTCAAGTCGATGAATGTGAGACAAAGCGGCATCTTGTACTCCGTGAAACTTCTATGAGTCTCGTAACCGTTGGATATGTGTCGATCGTGCTGAACCTCTACGAACCCTGCTTGCTCGCATGGCTGTCCTTCATCTAGTATTCTGCGATCCTGTTAAGAATGCTCGTGTGAATAGCTTGTAGATTTACAGACAGCAGGCAGGATTGGGCGATAGTTGACATTTCTCAAGTCTCCTTCTTGTAAGCAACACGGTCCTGCTGGTTTCCACGGAGTGGGTACCTTGCATTCCGAAAGGTAGCGCGTGAAGAGTCGAGCAGAGTTCTGATGATAACTGGCGGTGCGTTCCTCAGATGTTCCGGTTTAACCCTGTCGAGGCCGGGCGCTGTTACAATTCTTCACCGACTGATGGCGTGTCGGACTTCGAGAGAGAACTGAAGGCAACGTTCCATCCTCTTGCGGTTGATAAGTAGGCAGATGGAAATGGCTATCGAAGAGATCCGAGTAGAAGTCGTGTGATGACTTTCTCCATTGCCCTTCGGGATGCAGTAACTGTTCCATCTGGACGTCGAAGCGGTCATCTTGTCTTGTAGCTGGCATTAGCTTCGCGGGCATTGCGGATGCTCCTCCCAGCTCTGCTGCTTCAGATAATACTGCTGCTCTCTTCCTCTCGAGATCTTCCTTTTATCGCCTCTCTGCATAGCTTCGCACTTCCTCAAGCTCGGACGTGAGTCGGTGATTGCCTGCAGCTCGTGTGGCTTCCACGTGCGTATCAGTTCGAGAGTTTCGGAGGACGACGTCTCTTGTGACTTTCAAACCTCTGCTTCTTGCCACAATCGTGAAGATTTCAATGAGCGATAATACTCCTCGTCGATGTTTTCGATAACGGAATCCTCCCATAAGCTGACGAGGAAGCGAAGTGGTCCAGTTGATGACTGTCCTGGGACTTCGCTTCTGAACTTTGCTGCTCTTCAACACGCATCGAGAAGTGGAATCTTGCCGAGGAGACGATGGTCGTCCGTGTAGAACTCCGGAACAACAGCGAGTCGGTCAGGCAAACCCTTCGATTAAAATGAAGTGGTCTATCTCGTTATGGAACTGTCATCAGGGTGACTCCAAGTCAGCGAAGGTGAGAGGGCTTCTGGAACTTGCGAGTTACATGAATGGTATTGGTCGACATGTATAAACTCAGACAGTCTTTCGCCCTGCTCATTCATCCTTCCGGTGAGTACCGACGTGAAGTTTTTCAGCCGTTCGTTCTCGGCCATCTTGGCGTTTGAAGTCGGGAAACCGCGCATGACCTTTAGAATGGTATGGATTTTCCTGTGTAGAACTTCTCCAATTCCATATAAGAATGCTTCGTTGTTCTTGTCGTAAGCTTCGATTGTTGTGATGCGTTAGGAGACGAAGATTGATCAAGCAGGAGTTGAACCACATCTTCTCAACTCCTCAAGACGTCCGATTTCGGGTCGTAATGGCTTTGTACGAATCGACGTTTTATGGCAAGGGCGTGTGTGATCTCTTGATGGACACCACGCCAGCAACGCTTGCTGTTGCATGTTTCCAAGGAACAGTTTTTCCGTATCGAAAACGGCGTGCCTAGCGAGGCGGATTGCTTTCTCGTCTGGTCAGTCAGATGGAGTAGAAACGTCTTGTATTCATGGCTGCCTTTATCAGTATCTTCGATTTGTGAGTTCGGATGCAAGTGCGTTGTTACGTTGCGTTGAAAGTTACAGATTCGCATCTTAGCCTTTCTTGCGTTTTTAGGAGCCTATCGGGCCCTGAGTATTCTAGCACTCTCCGAAGCGGTCCTACCAAACGTTGCGTATTGGGGGGCCTCCCTTCAGGTTTCAAGGGATGAGGCCCTCTATTATTGCTGTGTTTCGGCATATTGAAGGCACACGAGTAGCTTGCAGGCTCGGTGTGCGGGCTTAGGATAGACTTCCAGGTAGTTAGCCACGCTACTTCTGGAGCGGAAACAAGGGGCTTGTTTTATGGAGGCGGGCCGAATCTGCTCAATGTGTATTTAATAGGTTCACTTGAATGCAAGTTCTTTGGCTGTAGACCGAATGCAGAGTACCACCGCACACACATAAGAGCGCACCACACGCAAGCTTTTCATGGTGCGCCTGAGTGGAGACAGCTTGGTAGTGAATAACACAGCGTCTACAGAAACAGGATGTCCATCCATTTGAATCCACTGCGTCTCAGGGCAAGTATATTGGTGCTTTTGGTCCGCGATTTTACCCCTGATCGCCACCTGGGTGTCGCGCCACGTAGTCGCATCACCGGGTCGATGATCTTTCAGTGAGAGAAGGACCCTCAGTGATAAGAGATCGGTGGCGCTATTTTGTATCTTATGGAATGAATACAAAAAACTGGAGAAAGAGGAGCGCATGCACTATAAAAATGAACGACATGTTTCCGACGCGCATGCGCGTCACCTATCGTCAACGTGTTAACCACTGTATCTTACTTGTAACAGGAAATCGGCCTTTTTGGATACCTCCTTCTGCAGCAATTGCATCAATCTCATCTAGAACATCAATGAACCCACTTTCTTTATAAGATTTTCAGCTTAGGTTGGTTTTAAATCCATATCACCAAGACGCTGCGTAGTGGAGGAGGTGCATGGTTTGAAATAATAGTTCAATGTCTTTAAAACGATTTTAATTTTGCAATCAAGGAAGTGTAAGATTAGTGTGGCTTTCAGGTCTGCTGAACGAGGGCTGGCGAAGCCGTTCGTGCTTATGCCAACGCCTGCTCAGCGAGGTTTAGCCAAAGGTGAAAATTTTATATCTGAAGGCATGGGTATAGACTATATTGATTTTCAAAAAATTTCAGGACAAAAACGCGCTAACAGTGCGACCGAGTTTGCTAGTATGAACCGAGCAACGGAGGCATTGCAGTGCGATGATGGCCAAATCAACACAACAAAGAAGTTTTTCAGACGTTCCGATGAAACCATGGATAGGTAAGCTAGGCCTGAATTTGATCATCAGCACACGAGCGTCTGATTTTAGGGTGTTAGATCAGGTGGACTTCCAGAGCAAGTTTGCACTACTCCCAGAAATCACGATTGATCAATTGAAGGTGAAATCAACCAATGCAGTGCTGCAATGGATGTCCACCGTGTTCAAAACTACATCGTTTTCCAGGACACGAACATAAGAAGTTTACCTTCAACACCGTCAATACTAATTCGCAATATTATGGAAAAGGTTCGTGATTCGCCTGAAACCAAGCCATTAATGTCTGCAGGCAGTAATGGTGCCTTTTTTGAACCGACATCGAACGAGTCATCTCCAGATTTGGTGGGTGCTAAGCGATTGATTCAAAACTCTGAAAGAGTTAGAAGGAGAGGATTCAGGGATCTCTTGAGGACATAATACCATGCAGCTCATTAGACGAGAAAAGTTCCAGTAAGCGATTGTTGGAACAACGGCGACTTCTTGTGTGTCAGCTATTGGAAACTGCCGGACTGTTTCCATCGTGTTAGTCTTGCAACGTTATTCGGCACCAGTTTTATTGAATGAAGACATACAGCTCTACGGGGTCATCTATAACTTGAACAACGAAAAAGGTTGTGGCTTGAAAGTACAACATCTACTTTAAGTCGGCACTGAACGGTTTTTGAATCCTTTCCGCGATGCCCCATCTGGAATAGTGGCAAATATTAGTATCTACAGCCATACAGACATCTACAGCTAGATGTAGCTTTGGACGCAGATCTCTAGAAATTTGCCCCTAGAAGCACATGGATATTCAGAAAGAAATACTTGTTTGAATAAAAACGACACTACTTATGAGACAAACTAATACATCCGATTAGAGAAATTTAGACTTTTATCTGATTTTCAAAACATGGCGTCCTCAAAGTATAGGTTCACTTGGTTCTTCTGCCATGTGTTCCTAAGGAGGTTGTGAAGATGACTCGTTATTGGTCCCCTAACTCGTATGTTTTAGAGTACCATGCTACGCGGAGCGCAACTATCGGAGTAAAAAACTGTAAATTCAGGTGACAAGGATATGACAAGCAGTAAGAATCCGCACAGCATCTCAAAGCAGTAGGCCCTCACCTCGAGGTGACCACAACTTTCTGCTAGTGTATGGATCTATCGCTCGAGTAGGAGAACAAGCATATCGGTGGGAGATTTATGAGGAAGAGTAGCAGAGGCGCTGATTCGGCCAACGAAGCTAGGGATTTTGCAAGAACTGACTCCTGATGAGTTGAAAACTCTGTTAACCTTGTGCTTGATCCATCTCCCAAAATTGTGCGAAGACGGTGCTTGATTGTGCTACATACACTACGCACGCAGAAGTAGCCTCAAGTTCTTTTGACTAAGAAGTATACTTTTCAAGTAATGAACGGTGCAGTGGTGTAAGCAGTTTTTTTTTCGATGAAAAGAAATCTAGCATAGATAGCCTAACAAAATATTAGCGCAATTTGAGGATAAAGCGACGCCTCTCCTTCATGAGTTGATTCGTGAGAGTACTGTTATGGTTGGATCGCCTCCTCTGGCTTTTGCTACATATGATTCGTGCTCACTGCACATCTCTCAAGTCTGCGCTTGCTAGGGCGTCCTCGTAAATAACTCATTGCCATCATTGCCATACAAGAAGCGAATCCCATTCGCGCACTTCATATTCCGATGAGATAACGTGGGTATTCATCTGAGTGTCCCAACAATGGCGTGAAAAGCGAAGTTTTAGTCTCCCAAACTAACCGCTTTGAATTCAATCGAGAACCTCTGGAACGTCTTCGCCTGAGACTTTTGACCTATTACGGGCAATTCGACAGGATCTAGCAGTGTCATTCAAGAGTCTTGGGAGCGGGCACCGCTCTAAACAATCTCCCGACATGTCTTGAGCACGGCAAAGCGGATGTTGAAACCACCGAAAGGAGAGGAAAGTTGTAAGGTTCCAACCGTTATTGATGTTATCAATATTGCACATTCCCAAATTTCGCACATGCTTGGTGAGGCTCCAAGCCGCAGCAGCTCCCTATTGGAGGGTCCATCCTGGCTTGAGCGGACCTCCTTTTTCCGTGCATTAGGTCTTGAGCAAATCTTTTTTGATCTTTTTGATCTTTTTCATGATCTTTTTCATTTCATTTTTTCAAGTCTTTGCTGTGGTCCTGCCGATGAGAGGGATTCATGGACGGATATAGTACAACATCTGACTTAGGACCGAATGCTAAGAAAATGGAAGGATGGTTTTGTTAGGGGGGGGGGTGTCGGAAGAGCAGATTCTTAGTAGGTGAGCCACTGAGATTCCATGGGTAAAGGTTGAAAAGTGCGAAGTCGCAGTAGTCGTAGGAAACTGTCCAGGCATGGGCACGTAGGCGAAACTTGACGTATGAGCAGCTTCCAATCGCTTCGTTGATGTATGTCGTGAGATTCTGGCATGCCCTTTTGACTCTTACCTAAACAAACATAGGCACTGTGGAGAGTTTGCTTGCACGTCCAAGATTTGGTAAGTCAGACCATTCAGAATGAGTTTTATGTCTATACAGGGGTGGCCAAAAAAAGGGACACTTCACTTCATATTCAAAACGGAATTATTTACGCGTTGCGAAACCAAACCAAATGATCCCAACTAAATATTAAAGAGCACGTTATAATCAATCAGTAAGTTACACAACAGCTTTCTACACCGACCACATCAGAAGATTTTCCTACGGAAGCGTTGTGCACCGTACGAGCTCAACGAGGCCTTCGAGATACCATAGACGATTACGACGTCTCTGAAAGGCAGTTCAGAAGCGGTTTTGCATATTCACAGCTAATGTCTCTTGGAAGCTATTCAAGTCATTCAAGTCATTCCATTGAAGAAATAATGTAGCAGCTTCAGGTCGGAGTGATTACGGTAAGCCTCGTTGAGCTCGACGGTGACGGTAGATGACGTAATATTCTGAAGACGGGGGGGGGCACTGAAGAAAGGCCTGCCTCTGTTTACGGGGGAGCACCTAAGGAATATTTCGCCGTAAAAGTTTCATTACCATCGGTTCCCTGGGCGACGAAAACTTCGATAATGTGCGCTATGGGCTAAGCGTCTTTTTTTTGGCTACCTCTGTATACATGCTCGAGAAGCTAAGTTCAAATCTCCTTTTGCTACCTACGGAAAGGTTTTCTGAAAGGAGTAATGGATCTGGAAAACGCCCTAGTGAATCACACGCACAACGTCATGGTCTCGGCTTCGAGCGAATGCGTACTTTTGCTCTCCTCAACAATATGTTGAAGTCTTTCTAGCTATATTTAATGAGAAAAACCACGAACTAGCTCGAAAAAGTCGATCCCACAACCTTTTTATTGTGCTTCACGCTCTGGGCTGTGCTTTTCTGCTTTACATACAGTACCCGCCGTTTGAAATCGATAATTCACGCGAATTACGCGAATCCTCGTTAATTTCAAGAATTCGTTATAACTCGGTTCGAAATTGAGCTTTCAAGGATCCAAAGATATCTCTGAATTCAGCTCGTCGGACACTATAAGAATGTGCTTCGATACTTTGGAAAAGCTTTATATAGGTTTACGCCATGCACTCGATTTTCATCTCAAAAAGTAGTTGCTCGCATGTGATGTGTATATTATCCCGCTTATGAGGGCTGACCGCTACGCACAGAGAAGGGCCTCAAAACTTACCCCAGAATGCGCCACGTGCTCAACCTCATCCGCTACATTGTGCGATTAGATGAATGTTATTTTCCGAATTCTTAGATCTTCATTTGGTTTTCAAGCGCTTACTGGCTTTAGGTGTTCCCTCTGCTCTCAATATCCCATCCTCTGTATATCAAGTAGAATCTTTGAACACTTCTCAGCAGGCATAGTGGGCCTATTATGTAACATTTTCCATTTTCAGAAGAGATGTTTTGCAGAAAGCTGTGAAGATAGCGAACAATTTCCTTCACTGTCGTAGACTACGGTTACTTGTCTGTGAGGATTATATGGAAACCTTGATCGTAGGTGAGTGTTTCTTCCGTGGTGTGACTCCAAACATCACCCCTCTTCATGCCTTTGCCTACCCTACTTACGTGACAAAGTCACATTCTATAGAAGAGTGTTTTGTAGAAGCTGTAAAGGAAGCGAAGATTTCCTTCACTGTCGTAGACTATGGTCACTTGTCTGTAGGAATTATGTGGAAACTCGGTCGCAAGTGGCCGTCCTTCCGTGGTGTGGCGCCACAAACATGCCTCCTTGTCCATGCCCTTGTGGAAAGTTCAGATTTTTTGCATTTCCAGATAAACTCGCAGACCTGAAATGTGCCCTTTAGCTTCCCCGTGAAAAATGCTATCGAAAGGATCGTTTGGCGCCAATTTGGCGCCGCGGCAGTTTTCACCAAATCTGCTGAAACCTCGTCATTTGGGTTTATTTGGGGTCCTGATTACGGAAGCGACACCCATTTTTGGCGCTGGCGCCATTTGGCGCCGTTTGGCGCCAATTTCGCGCCACGTCTGTTTCCACCAAATCCGCTGAAAACGTGTGTATAGGGGTTATTTGGGGACCTGATCACGAATATAGCATCCAGTCTTGACGCCGGCGCCATGTAGTGTCACAAACAGCCCCTCACAGTCAGAGCGTACTCTTAGGCACCTTTCTCAGAGCGGCGACTGTCAGACCGTGGAAAAGGTCATCGAATCGGAGACCCCACGACAGGAAGGAACCAGACCGTGGAAAACTGGAGCTAAGCCAGAAGCATATTTCACGTTTTCACTGGAGATGCCTGTATGCGTTGGACAGAGCAGCAATTCGACTGTAAGCTCTCCAGCTGTCACTGAGGATGGCAGTACTGGGCTCGATGTACAACTTCATGATGAGCCGCAGTAGAGTTGAAACGTCTTCCCTTCGGACCATCCGAAGGAGTCCACTTCCTCTTTCAATGCCTCCAAACAGCCACTTGTGCCTGCGTACCCAACGTCGGCGGTTGTTTTTGCGTTTGATAACCAGTATTTCGTCAATTTCCATCTCGCACCCGAACCTTCCGATAATCAGCGGATTCCCCTCGAAGGGCCCCACACAGACGTCGCGGAAGACCGCTCCCACTGAATTGAACTGGTGTGGCCGACGTTGAGCTCGTATCCCTTGTACTTCATCTTGCCCATGTCGCGCAGCCAGAAATAGGGCAGTGCGAACACCGTGGACTCAGGAAAGTTACAGTTCTCGAAAAAGGAATCCTTTCGGGCATGCGTAGGCCCTGGTCTCGTTGGACGGTCCAGTGCGGCACGCTCGACGATTGCAAATCCAGCCGTTGTGCCGTTCGTCGTTGATCAGGCTCATGGATCGTTGACGTGAATAGCATAGTGGCACATAGTGGCACAGATATCAACCCCATGGATCGCAATCAGTCAGTGCAGATTATTCAACTTGAGCGTCTCGTACACTTCCTTCAAGGCCAAGCCCAGTAGCTCTCATTGACGATTGTGTCGCCAAAGAGTAGCAAGAGCCATCGTTATTCCCCAGCAAGAGCCATCGTTATTCCCCGTTGTCGAAAACGTAAAAGATGCTCCTGGCTCCTTCCTGTCGTGGGAAAGTCTCCGATTCGATGACCTTTTCCACGTCTGACAGTCGGCGCTCTGAGAAAGGTGCCTAAGAGTACGCTCTGACTGTGAAGTGTTGTTTGTGACACTACATGGCGCCGGCGTCAAGACTGGATGCTATATTCGTGATCAGGTCCCCAAATAACCCCTATACACACGTTTTCAGCGGATTTGGTGGAAACAGACGTGGCGCGAAATTGGCGCCAAACGGCGCCAAATGGCGCCAGCGCCAAAAATGGGTGTCGCTTCCGTAATCAGGACCCCAAATAAACCCAAATGACGAGGTTTCAGCAGATTTGGTGAAAACTGCCGCGGCGCCAAATTGGCGCCAAACGGCGCCAAATGGCGCCAAATTACACCAGCATCAAAAATGAATGCCATATTCGTAATCAGGGCATCGAATTACCCTAGTGGGCAAAGTTTCGACGAAAAATGAAACTCTGAGATTTTGGGGAAGTAGTCGTGGGATAGTGCCCAATCCGGCAATAGGGGAAGGCTGAAAACGGTGAAAAATCAAAGGTTCTACTGGGGGAAGTAATGCATATCATTCGATAGCAATTTTCACGGGGAAGCTAAAGGCATTTGACCCTGTGGAAAGTCAGATTTTTGCATTTCCAGCAGAAATCGCAGACCTGAAATGTGCCCCTTAGCTCCCCGTGAAAAAATGCTATCGAATGATATGCATTACTCCCCCAGTAGAACCTTGATTTTCACCGTTTTCAGCCTTCCCCTATTGCCGGATTGGGCACTATCCCACGACTACTTGCCCCAAAATCTCAGAGTTTCATTTTTTCGTCGAAACTTTTGCCACTAGGTTAATTCGATGCCCTGATTACGATATTGGCATTCATTTTGATGCTGGTGTAATTTGGCGCCATATTGGCGCCGTACAAGGGGTGATGTTTGGGGTCACACCACGGAAGAAACGCTCACTTGCGACCGAGTTTCCCACATAATTCCTACAGCCAAGTGACCATACTAGTCTACGACAGTGAAGGAATTTCTTCGCTTCCTTTACAGCTTTCTACAAAACACTCCTCTAAGAATGTGACTTGTCACGTAATAGGGGGCAAAGGCATGAAGAGGGGTGATGTTTGGGGTCACACCACGGAAGAAACACTCACCTACGATCAAGGTTTCCATATAATCCTCACAGACAAGTGACCGTAGTGTACGACAGTGAAGGAAATTGTTCGCTATCTTCACAGCTTTCTGCAAAACATCTCTTCTGAAAATGGAAAATGTTACATAATAGGCCCACTATGCCTGCTGAGAAGTGTTCAACGATTCTACTTGATATACAGAGGATGGGATATAGAGAGCAGAGGGAACACGTAAAGCCAGTAAGCGCTTGAAAACCAAATGAAGATCTAAGAATTCGGAAAATAACATTCGTCTAATCGCACAATGTAGTGGATGAGATTGAGTACGTGGCGCATTCTGGGGTAAGTTTTGAGGCCCTTCTCTGTGCGTAGCGGTCAGCCCTCATAAGCGGGATAATATACACATCACATGCGAGCAACTACTTTTTGAGATGAAAATCGAGTGCATGGCGTAATCCTATATAAAGCTTTTCCAAAGTATCAAAGCACATTCTTATAGTGTCCGACGAGCTGAATCAGAGATGTCTTCGGATCCTCGAAAGCTCAATTTCGAACCGAGTTATAACGTATTCACGAAATTAACGAGGATTCGCGTTATTCGCGTGAATTATCGATTTCAAACGGCGAGTACTGTACGTTCTCTCAGGGTATCGTTCGGTATCGTTCCGCAGATAACGATAAGATAAAGCCTCAATCTCTAGGCGGGCATTCACTGTGGAAGAAGTTCTACAAATCTTTGATGCCACATCCTTATCACTGCTGCACCATTAGGATCCTTAAAAGCATATCAGTGACCTCTTTTCAGCTATTGCTTGAAAATAAAACACATGGGAATTTCTTGTTCAGCTCAGGAGACGACTGCTTTCCAACTGCTGCACAGCAATTTCTTTCCCAGCAAACAGAGCCTGATTCTGAAGATTCGCGAAGTGCGTCAAAAAATTATGAACGCAGTGAAGACTGTACGTTCCTCAGGTATCCGCTTTTTTGTTATTCACTGTTATGAAAAAGGTTTCATTATGTTTTTATTAGTATTTTCATATTATTTGAGCCTTCCATCGTCTACTCGAAAATCATTAACATCACAGAGCTCGTTAGAAAATGCGTTCGTACTATTCCAAAATTGACAATTCTGAGAACATTACGAAGCATGACAGACTTACCTTCATGTGTTTCAAGTTGGAATTTTCAAGGAGGATCATTAAGGAGGTCCAACCTACATCTGCTATTACTTTTGTTGACTATCCACTAGAAGGGTGATGAAATCTAGAAAGTAAAAATTCTTGAACTAGACACCGGCTAAAAATTTGAAAATTAAATAGCGGCGTTATAGTAAAACTCACTATTTCAGCAGTCACACGTACCGCCCGATCAAAAGGCAGTCTTGGAGGGATTTTGGGAGGCAGGAGTGTGTCATGTTGGTTTGGGTTCAGTGACACTATTGACATCGACCAGATAGTATTTGTATTGATCATGGGAGGAGTAGGTTGAACCAAAGATCCTGCTGAAGGGGGGAGGGGGTGTAATTGCGGCGCGACCATTTCCTCTAGGCGATATCATTGCTCTTGATGCAGATCCCTTATATGGTTTGTCTAAAAAATCCTGCTACACTTGTTCAAGATTTTTGATTGCACCTTCTTTTGGTAAATGAAATATTCAATCAGCAAGATTATCACCATTATCATATGGAACACGTGCACTTTTTTCGGGCAGTTTCTCAACTCTTTTACTTTAGGATTTCAGTGTTTGCCTTCAAAGGGAGCGATTTACCCCGCTTTCGAGGTGATCTCAATCATTGGATTCATCTTCTGAATGACGCTTTTTCAATACTAACCTGATAGTTAGAAGCAGCTAAGCCGGGCAAGTGAGCCAACTACTGCGAAGCACAATCCGCAGTCTTTTGATATGCCCTCCATCTTCTAATCCTTCGTTTAGGCATGGCTTAGGCCACATTCCAGAGTTAGTTAGAGCAACAGTCGTTATCAACGCAGTGCAGCTGTCCAGCAGCTCTGTGTGAAGAATTGGTTTGGAGTCTCATCAAAAGCACTATAAAAACCCTCCTCTAAGAAGGTTCCTGCAGGCAGCTTTCCTTTCAGTGGAATCCAGTAGACCTTGTGTGTACAGTTTCCTCAAAGCATGACTGTCTTCGTTAGATTTGTCTTCGTTGGCCATCATTTTTGTCAAGAGATTCCTTTGCTCTCTACTATGCTCGCACACTTCGCCTCCCCAGACTTTCACAACCCATGTTTTGCCAATGTGAACATGCTGTCTGCATGTGTAACCGAAATCCTCGGTGGCTGTCATTGAGTGCACCTCAGCTTTTTTGCTAGCCCACGATTGGTAGCAATCGGCTGCGCCTCTGCGAAGTTGAGTAAACGCTCACCGTTCATCACCTACAGCCGACTAGAGCAGTGATTTACTCAGAGTCAAATATTTCCAGTTGCCTACCTATAGTGAAGGAAGGCAGTTGCTTCACTCATCACTCGAGATGAAAAATCCCCTTTTTTGACGTTAGATTTTTGGTGTGCTAACAGTCCGAATATGGGTCCTCCAGAGTTTTCTGTTTGTAATCTTCCCGAAGAGCTACTAAGCGATCAAAATGTCTTTCAGTAATTGTAATGACTCTTGTGATAGCTTTGAGAACTCCTGATGTTTGGTAGGGACCTGAACGCGATAACAGCTGATAGGGGCTGATAAGGAGCCTCGGAAGGCAAATGTCGGGAAATCAACCGCGCACGGTCCAGCATCATTGAGGCGGTGCTTCGCAGATATGATATAGGTGGTGGGATGGAAACGTATTTGATGGGGACCGAAGGTGATAACAGCTGATAAGGGGCTGATAAAAAGCGGTGGAAGGAAAATGTCTCAAAATACACAGCGCAAGGCCCTGCAGCATGAGGGCATTGCTTTGCAGATTTGATATACGGGTGTTACGGGAACATACTTGGCGTGGACCAGAAAGTGAGAACAGCTGATACGATGATAAGGAGAATTGGAAGGCAAATGTCAGTTACGTCCTCATCCAGGTGACCGATGAGGAAACATTTTATTTCTTCGCGATGTCGTCGTGATCCATTCGGCCACTAATCTGCCCGAGCTTATTAAATGGTCGGTGTCTGTGGAAATACGACAAGCATTGGTACTTCTACATACCTCATCACAGGCACAGAGGTTATACTACCGCTATGCCATCCCAACATCCAAAGCATGGTAGATGTTTACGCTGAGGGCTGTAATAAGCAGGCCATATAATTGTAGTAGTTGTCCGGAGCTCATCCGGCCGCTAGACTGCCTTAGTTTTAGGAAAATGATGGATGTTCATGGGTATAGACGAAATATGAGTATTCATTGCTTCACCACCAACTTTCGTTACTACCATTAGTCAAATCCATCGAATGCAGTATGTTATTCACTACAATAGTCCGGCTATATTTTTTCGCTGAGGCCTACTGTGGGATACCCGCGATAGCGAGCAGAGCAAAACTGGTGTATAATAACAGATAGGTCGGATATTGTTCCCATTACAGGAGTACCCTACTTGAATAGCAGTTTCACACGAGCGGTACTCAAATCTTTCGGGATCGGGTCACTTGTTCGATACTGTTTAGCAAAGTGTTAAGCATGGGAGCTTGTGGACCTTGCAAGAGTAAACTGCTCTCTTGGACTGCGATCAGGTCTACGAGATCTTCCAAGACGGAGTTGAGAAAAGATGGGACGGCACGATTCGAAGGAAGGAGGGATCGACAGAGGGAACTCGCTAGATGACTGTAAATTTCATTGTAGTACGATGCCGTTGCGATTTCTGTTGCTCGCTGCGAAGATGCTCGGTGGTGTTGGGTCATTAGCGTTTTTTTTTTGTAAATCCTTTTTAATTTCGATTAGACTCCTGACTTCTGAATTGCTTTTTGCTCAGTTATGGTCTTTCTCTGACGGATGTCTTCGAGTAGAGGAATTTCGGCCGCTCTGCGTATAATTGAATGAGCGAAACGGTTTGTCAAATAAGTTGTTTCGTAATGTCAATTGTAAGATCCGAAAAGTAGTCATGGGATAGGCGATAGTCTGCCGCAGACCCGGCAGACGAAACTGTGCTTCGGGAGGGAAGTGCAGATTAGTAATTAGAGGCAATAATGTCTTTCAGCTGTCCCCCTTTATTACTGTGGTTTTAAATTGCAGACCGCGATGCAAAGTATCACAAAGATCCTGTGATGTGGGTAATCTGAAAATACCTGCAAGAATTCTGATGAATAACAGTCAGTGCTTCCTTGAAGCCTCCTTCAATTTTCATCGAAATAAGTGTGCAGATGTATCGAGAAGGATCCACAGGAAAGCTGGGATGCCTTGAGAACAAAATCACAACATTTTCATATTTCTTCAGAAACCGGTTCCAGCTCGAGGACTAGTTCAGCGATCCAGTTCTTCGAGACAAAAACCAGCTCATTTTGACAATAGATTTAGGACCTGCTGACAATCTGAATCCGAATCCCTTAGACTCTGTTTGTGACCTTATTAAATCGCTACTAAGGAATCAAAATGCAAAAAAAATTGGTGATTTTGAAAAGAAGCGTCCACAACTTGAGGTAGCTCAAGGTGTTGATCGTTTTCGCGGCGTCATCGACTCGAGGGCGAAACAAGCTTAGGCCTGTATAAAAGGGCTACTATGAAATTTTCCCACAATCATGGTATTTTAGTTTGTTCTCTCATCAAATTGACTTCTTCCAAAGTTTGTGGTCAAAAAATGAAGTTAAGACGTTTTTTATGGCGCACGTAATTTCTCCCCACCTTATATAAGATGCACCTCGAGCATACTTCCTCAAAGTGCGCAGTGCCTTCGATTCCCACTCATAATCGAGGTGAAACGAATAAGTGAAGGGTTTATATAATATATATCCTTCCCTTCTAATGCATCCAAAGCTTCCATCTTCTTTATTCACTCTACAACGGAAGGTATTTGCGAGATTCGGAGCAATTTCAGTAAGTATCGGAAAGAAAAATCCTTGAAACTTTAAATCTATATGGATTTCTCAAATTTGAGGAATTATGTAGTTGTGGGAAATAACTGCTTCTTCTTATCATCATTTCACTATCATTTATCAAATCAGATGTTACTTCTGGAATGCGGATCATACCTCGACAAGAGGATTGCTTATGTTTTCGCTAGTGTTACATCAATTGACCAGTTGTAAAAATATTGTGTGGAGCAAGCGCTGGGGGAAATCTGGTCTGCTGTATACTGAAACTGCGGAGGTAGAAACAAGAGTATGAAAATGGTGTTGGTGGGAAGGAGACGGAAAGGTAGAAGAGCTAGTAAGAGTTAAAAGAGGAAAACGGGAAAACGAATTGCTCTATAAGCAAGGTGGCTTACTGTGCAAAACTCTGTGTACCCCGTATCTTGAACTACGTCAGGGTGAATATTTTTGCTTCAGATACGGCGGAGGATGTTCACCCTCGTAGCCCAGTCAACGCATTCGTGCGCACACGAACTGTGAACGGGTCGTAAATGCTACATGTATCAATATTCTTGTTGTCAGTTATTCCTTATGAAACGTATAACGCCTAGAAAGCCCGGAATAATTGAAAAATATCGTACAGTTATCATTCTCGTTTTATATTTTGTGACTCTTCAAAGTAAGGAACATTGTCTTGTTTAGTGGATAAAATCCACATCATTCATTCTTTCTTTGGCATTTCTATTACTACTTTTCTCTTTTCTCAACCCTTCGTCATCCCTCTCCTCGAATATTCGCAGTTATTTTTCTCTTTCTCCTCGTAGCAGAACTTATGCGTACCTATAAATGGAATTAATGTATAGTTGATTAGGACCTTGTTTAACCACCTTTACTTCAGCTTTCTTTCCATAATTTGTAGATAGCTTAACGAGTGCTTGGAGTATGTTGCAGAGTTTTTGGTGCAACTTCTGATTATGTTATCACGTTACCCGTTCTTGTCTACAAAGGCAATATGTTGAACCTGTGCGATTCGATCGTTTTTGTAGTATCGCGTAGTGAGTCTAGGTATTTACAAATTGATTGTGCTTATTATTTGAAAATTTCTTTTCTCTGTTGTTTGCCCCGGATGTCGGTCAGGAAGCCCATACCACCACAAATAGGAATCTGTGAATACGCACGGCATCCTTGACTAGTTGTCTGTAATGTGCTGTACTTCCAACTTGATTGCTTCGTATTTACAAGGTTGTGGTTGTTTACGCTGTAAAATCAGTGTAACGGCTTTAATTCTGGAATTGGCATCCAACAGACGTCTTTGCGTTGGGTTTTGACTTTGGGGGCTTTCCTCATACTATGGAAAGTACAGTGGTGAGAGGAAATCAGAGAGATAAGAAAAGAAGCAAACTGTTGGGGCTCCTTGGTCTACCGAATCCCTCACCATCACTGATACGTGAACGGATGCTAGTTTGACAGGCACACGTCAGCTTCTAGCAAGAGCCAAGCGCACAACCTCACTTGTCGCGCGGTGACTCCCTGATCGACGCCCGCTTTCTCTATTGGGTACCGCGCGAGGCTTCCTTTCTCGCTCTTTTGAGGCGTGAATGCAGCCGTAGGAATTCACAAATATCACTTTCTTCTCTTCATCGAAGTACTACTCTGAAGAACTCGAGATATCGCTTTTTTATTATACATCTGGGCAGCGTCTTTGTGTAGATTTTCAACTGTTCCCTTCGAAAGGGTTTTTGATCGCCGTCAATAACGTGTATAAGATGAGCGCATTGTAGCCCATGCACTCTGAGTGACAGTTGATATTACAAAGAAGGGATCCTACGCTGAAAGGGCCATTTGTAGAAACGTTTTTTTTTCTGCGAGATCATGTTTCGGGCGCTGAGACTCAACCTATCTTTCACTTTACGATCCACTAGGCTGATTCGTGAGGGCTCTTCTGCACTATTTCGACACAGTTAGGAGCCAAAACCTTGAACCAAGATGGTCAACTGTTAGATAAATGAGCTGTAGAATCAACGTCGCTAAATTTGCGGGCTTTTTTCGCTGCCTTTGCGTGAGTTGTCATTGGTCCACAATAGCTCTTTCACCCCTCCTACAAGGAAAAGCTCCCAGTTGGCCATGGCCATTCGAGAAGAGCTGTACCACTACACTAGATCTCAAATCTGCCTTCCAAATCTGCTATACGTTCTCTGAACGAAGTTATGAAGCAAGACAGCGCAACGGTAGCGGTCGGGATTCACAGTCGAAACGTCATAGGATTAGTTCCCCTCTTGTCGTGCTTACTGTTTTGCGTTCTTCAGGAATTCAACAGCATAGGCTATTAAATGCCTTTCAGCTGTACCCCTGAGGAATGGGAAATAGTAAACACGATAAGGGACTGATTCTACAGCATTTTGATTGTGAATCCCGACCGCTACCGTTGTGCTGTTTTGCCATAACTCCGTTCAGAGAATCATTTAGCAGAATTGGTAGGTAGATTTGAGATTAGCATTCAGGGACTCATCTAGTAGTTTAGTTTGTCTTCTTGATGGCTATTGCGACCGGGAGCCTTTCTTTGTAGGTCACAGTTTGCTTTTAATCGAGCGCGAGAGCATTTATTATACCGAGTTTCCAGCGCGCTGCGCCCAAACTACAGCGTCCGAAAACATCTATAAAAGATTAAGCATCTGCACACACGGCCATGTCGATGAGGACCATCTCCTTCCCCCCCCCCCGGGGATTTAGCCTCGTCACATCCACTCCTTACTGTATTTTGCATGTGAGCAGTCCAGTCTCCTATCTAGTCTGCTTTCTTGAGCTCCTTAGTGTCTATTATCTCCTTCTTCATTCTCAGTCCTCGCGTCTAGTTCACAATTGGCAATATTTTACCTTTACTCTACCTAATTTACGTGGGTACTATTGCACTATTACAACCCCAGAACCAACGTGCGAGAGGACTGTTGATAACTATTCGTTTCCACAGGGTTATTGGGGTTCATTGTCAATCAATCAGCTCGGTTTTACATCGATGCCCACTCTTAGTGCCGCTATCGTTTTCCACGAAATTTATCAGAAAGGGAATGTGTTAGCCGTTCAATGCCATGATCGCGAATTCATCATTCATTTTTGGTGTCCGCTCCAGAAATGAACAACATACGCCGCCGAAATCACCTGTGTGTGAGCTCGCGGCGGAAATAATAGAACGAAGCCGTATCTCCAAATTGCGTGGACATCGTTGAGAATGAACGAATATTCGCCATCATGGCCATCCTATGGGAGGAATTCACCCAAGGTATCTTTAATCTCCTGTTTGCTATTTTGTCCGTACCTTGGGATGGGTTTAGTGAAAATAACTTCTTTTGTTCCACAGTATCGCACAGAGGTTGAAATTGCGCAACAGTGCACCGGTGCATGTTTTCTTGTAGCAGATTCCATATTCGTGTCCATTTTATGAATTCTATGTGTTTTTGTTGCTTTCAACGGTTGATGTATAATTATAGCACGATTCTTTTTTTCTCTTAAGTATTCTCATTTACAAATATACCGATGTGATCTGCCGTGATACGGTGACAAGTACAGGTCGTCAAAATCCCGGTTCGCATTGGTGAGGTCATGTTCATAGAGTAGTTGTGTCTGAAGCCATAAATTTCTTTTTAAGTGGCCGTTTTCTGTCCATACATCTGTCTGTCTTGTTTGCTGATACTTGCAGAGTTCTCTTCGCTACGTGGCTTACAGTCATAATGTATTTTGTTTAGCATTTGCTGTTCATTTTCTTTCCACTTTTTATGCGATAGGCCCACCGCTAGACGAAATTTTAGTCCCAACGTCTGTGATTCTGCTTAATAATAAAAGATTGCAAGATCAACGCTCATGTAGTGTTACAATTGTTGAAGTAAAATGATGCGGCAAACCTAGTAAAAATATTGGGTTGGTCCATAAGTCTTGTAACAAATTACATTTGATGCTAGATAATTTTTGTGAGGACTCCGAAAAATCCGCAACATGTTTGCTTACGTAGCATCCACCTTCGCAATTTCGCCTGACCATCCATCTCGTTGTCTTGTTACTTCCTACGAATATTAACACCGATTTCGCGAAAAGCTCTTCGTGCCCTAAATTTTTACGAGTTCTGCTTGGAATGTTCCTCAAGTCATGCTACATTAAGGACTAGCCAAATGATGGGCATGAGCTCGCTCTCCCAATTCACTGTGCACAGGCGCTTCATTCAGCTCGGCATTGCCTTTTTTCATTTGAAGATCATCCATACTCCAATCACCCCGTGGCTGACAATTACGATGCGCTATCTGGCGCTGCTGGAAAAGGATCTGGATGGACTATCAATCATTTGTCAGAGCGATTCCGATGCAACAAGGATAAAACACTGTGGCATCTCCAAAGATTTGTAAAGGTCCGAAAATATAGAGTGGATCCGGCATGCCTTGAACCCAAATCAGCTCCAAACACGATCTGACATCGATATGTTCAAGTCGACTTACTATGGATTCTTTGATTGACTATCCATAGTATTTGCCGACTATGAGGAAGGGGTACAGTGTGCTATCCAATAAGTAAACGACGACAGTCCAGCTTAAACACTTCAGAAGTTCTTGCTGCTCAAGTTCAACCTCGTCCAAGTAGGGCCTTCTTGGATTTTTGGTGGAATGCGAGAGTACAATATCGCTCACAGAATGTGAAAAAGTGCCGATTGACAGATTAGTCCATCACAAGCCGTCGCACCCTCATAACTACGCTGAAACGAAAAAATACAAGCACCTTTGGACAAGTCACACCACGACGATTCTCAGGATGTATTGCGAATCAGGATTTGTTAGGTAGGTCATCAGCTTTACCTTCTAAGCTGGGGTAAAATTCATTTTTGACCTCAAGGCAGGACACAATTCGTCGGAATCTCATGTATATAGGCACAGCAGCTTATTGCTCACACGTATCTCCTTTTTTGACGCATTTTTATCCCTGTCTCACAGCCACTCTCGATGTGAATGAGCTCTTCGATGTGACATTTCTAAATTTTGGGAGCATTTTTCATCAAAGTCTACAGGAATCACAACGAAACGGCTAAAAAGTTTTGAGCTACGTATACAACTGCGCAAGAATTTTATTGTTTCCTGGGATACAGCCTAGCAGTTCTTCCACAATTTTCTTGTAAATATCGGCATGCGTCACACTCAGCAAACAGGACCACCATTGTTTTCCTTCCAGAATTGTATTTTTGCGAAGGGTTGTGCCAAAGAAGTAACTCACATCATCAAAAACATATCTTTAGAGTCTCACTGTACAGAAGATTTCTCCACTAATCCTTTATTGGTCGGCAGTCCGGTACAATGGATGCGTTCCGACGGGATTTTGCCCCCCTCTACAGGAGCCAGCAGCTTTTATACACACAGAATTCTAGTTCTCAAAACATTTCTAGGCTGATACAATCAGATAACAGTATCAAACATGAACGTTTATTAGAGCTTGAGAGGATTCAAACGAGTGACTCATTAACGATTAACCTACATTCAAGTATAACTAGGAATAGAGAAAGGAATAGAGGATTGGGAAATTCTCTATATTCCCCGGCGACCTGAGCTAGGGCTACATGACCTGCGGGTAGAGCCTCGGTGCGATGGGGTATGATGACGACTTCTTTTCGGTGACCTCTTCTGGCTGCCATGACGCGGCGACGTTGACCTCTGATATCGATGGCTGGACGGCGCTATAGGAGTTCTGCTCGACGTCTGCTGCATCGTGGTGTCTTTTCCTCCCTTCTTTCTGGTCCCCTCGTATAGGACCATCTTCAGATCATCCTTTTTCCTTTTGAGTGCCATTTCTTCATCTAGGAGCTCGTACTTCTCTTTCCTCATCGCGTAGATCTTAGACTCGTTTGCCTTGAGGTTCCCTCTTCGTACCTCTTCTATTTGTTGGCCGAGAACGAAGGTCTCGTGCTTGATTCTGCGAAGATCTTTGTCCACATTCGCCATCAATTCCAGGATTTCTTTGTCTTCTCGCTTCTCCTTGATCTCGCCTGCTTTAGATTCTTCGTTTCTGAGCTCGCTGGACTATTCTCCTTCTCCTTCCGGTTCGGGGCTGAGGTCGTTGTTGATGCGAAGAATGCCTTCGGATCCGATTGATTCCTCAATCCCCTGCCTCCTCGCGTCTTCTTTGGCTGATCCTGAGTCGCCTTCTTCCGATTTCTTCAACTGCAAATCGATCCTTCGAAGCATGGACTCGATGTCTGACCTTTGATCTAGCTTCTTCTCCAATGCCTCGGAGCGTTGGGTGACCTCGGTTTGGAAGGCGGCTAAACGTGTCGACACCTCTCCGACTTCGTGCATCACGGCGTTATTGCTGGCCTTTTCGACTTTGGATCTGCATCGGTCTACCTCTTTGAACATTTCATCCATTTCCATGAGGATACGGTTCTTCGCGTTATCCATCTGTTCTTCGAGGTTGGACTGCATCTCGGTTGAACTCGTCATAACTCGCTTCAGCAGTTCGTCCACGTGCTCTGGTTTGATGACTAGATTCGTCGGGGCTGCAGTCTGTTTGACGAATTCGTGGAGATCCGTTAAGCTCTTCTCAATCTTCTCCATCCAAGTATCGATCTACTGCAGTTGGTTGTCCCGAGCGCTCGCTTCTTGTCTTTCCAACACGGTGATCTTCTTCTGGGTGCTTTTGAAGACTTCAGTTCCTCGCTCGCAGAAGTCCTTCCAGAGATCGTAGTTGGAGCTGGAAGGGCTCCCCGGCGAGTTCGTTTGGCTGCTGAAGTCGACTCAATAGACTTGCTGCTGCGCTTCTTCGGCCTTGCTTTTTCTTCTTGATTCTTTGCTGCCATTTTCTTTTGAACTTCTTCCGTCCTCGCGTTGGGAGTCAATCCTTCTCCTGACGGCATGTGCTGACGGCGGAAGACGATCACGAGAGTTGCGTCGTGAGATTCGAATGAGAGCTCAGTGTTGTGCATTATGCTTTTATACGGAACCCTTACAGGCGGGGTCAAGCTGAGATGGTGTCGTAGATAGTGCTGAGAAATAGTATACGACATATCATAGGTTCTGAGAAGCTGTCTCTCCCTTAGTCTTTCTCTTTGTTGTTTCTTTGTTGCGATGCCTTGGCTCAACGCTAGGTTTGATTTTATGTGAGTCATGATTTGTCGGACGTTCGAATCTCAGAAACTTAGGAATAGTATAGTTAGAATCAGAGTTGTTCGATATGAGCTTTCTGATTCCGACAGGGTTTTTGTTGCCGGCGTAGTGCCTCTTCGAAGATTCGGTTGGCTATTCGGAACGGTACGATGACGGTACCGGTACGATGACGGTACCGGTACGATGACGGTACCGAGTAGTAATATGAACGCGAAACGTAAAATCGATGTCACTATTCGTAATCCACATGCCCACAGGAAGATGCATCCGAGTACGAGAGCGATCACAAACCCTGCGACGGTAAGCATGACGGTTTTGTGACTGGAAATGATAGTATCCAGTACGTGTCCGAAGTCAGGAAGCACTATTTCTTCTTCCACTGTAGTCTCTCCTTTTGCGATGCGTCTCATCGACTCTCGAATGGTTCTAACCCAATTTAGAATTCCTGTAACTTCGATTTCTGTTGTTGTGGAGCCACACGATACCATGCATCTCAGTTTCACTCTTGCGACTGTAGATCTGAATCTGAATTTGGATTTCTCTCCTTTCTCTGTGCATGGCGTTAAAAACTGGTGCTCTTCACATCGTACAGTGGCTTTCGTGTGCTCTGTATTGCTTGTACAAGTCCACTCAGCTACTGCTCCCTGTTTACAGTTGCAGCATCGCGTGGCTATTGCATTGTGAATTTTGCAGAGTGCGGTGTACCGTTTCTTTCATTACCAGGTGTATTAAGAAAGAAAAAAACATTTATAAAACAAAAACAATTAAAGTGGTTCGTTTCGCTCCTTCCTCAGACGAACCTTATTATTTCGTCAACCCCCGGAGCTCATCAGTGAGTTGCTAAATCCTTGGCTGAGGCATACACATGAAGGTACATATATGGTTCGGGAAACCATCATATTGTTTTTACCAGTGGTTAAATCAATGTATTTCAGGCTTGAATAAGGTGTTAAACACTGAAATATAGCAGAAGATTTCAAAGGAGTTCTTTTTGAAACTTTCCGAGTTTTTTGGAATTTTGGAGTTTTTCGAATAATTTGTGCTTTTGGGACTCTTTTGGAATAAATTTTGGTGCCTCTTTGTGTTTCATAACATTTAGTGTGGTACAAGTTAATATGTATATCACACTTGTATCCTACTTGGTTATGTTTTGACCGCATGAGTTTGCGAATCCCCCAAGTCCTTATCGATGACTATCAGACGACCTGTTACAGGGCTGTAACTAGGGAGGAGCTTCTAGTGGCAGGTTCGCCAACAACATTCCGTACGTGGACGGAAATTTGCTGATTTTTGTAGTTTTTCGCCACATTCTGTTTGTTTGTGTTCTTTCCATGTGCGACTCTCAATGAATCTTGGCATGAGTCGTAGAGAATATGTCAGTATAGTGAATAAGCTTCAACCAAGATTGATATCAACTTTTATTTGGCTTACGTTTCGGCGCTTTCGCCTTCATCAGAGCCTGAAAAGAGGAAAGCCATTCACGAAACTAACAGCCCAAATACTATTTCAACCTACAAGAATCGCTCAGCAGGGGTAAACTACTAGGGCGACTTCGTGGGACAGAAAAGACAACTAACCTCTAGAAAAGTCGACTAATGAGGTCCACCTGCCACCCTGAGCAGACAGTAATGCGGCTCAAATAGGTGAAGCCCCAAGGTCACTTGCTTAAGGACCCTCCTGAGAGTTGATCATGAAGATCAAGAATAAAATAATATAAATATAATATAAATAAAAGTTGATATCAATCTTGGTTGGAGCTTATTCACTATACTGACATGTTTGTGTTCTGTTCTGCTTTTTCTCTTCGATCCAGTCCCTGGTGCTTCTCCAGTTGGTTAGCGAAACACCACTTGTCATCCAAAGTAATGGCGTTGTTCAGCTGAAGTGTGGACTCGTCCGGCCCACTTATGGGATCTATTCAATTCGCAGATATTTCCTCTTCACCCAAACTTAGTAAATTTCCAAAGGATGGCAGAGCCTTACCAACTGTCTTAGTGTGGTCACATAGCAAAATAGCTCGTGTGGGTTGGCTTGAATGGGAAGCACAGCAGGCGAAAATGGGTTTAGCAGATTTGAATAAAGTGATACCGGGATGTGTATGAAGACAGGGATATAATATATCGCAAAGCAAAACTTACTGCCGGCTCCGACCGGTAGTGCTCAGGAGAAGTTCATAACTCAGAGCGTATGAAACATGGATCTCTTCTTCTTTTACTTGGAGAAGAGTACAGCAAAGGCGAACGTGATTGGGTTATGAAACGCAACGTAATATTGTCTCCGTAATTTACTCGATCGTATTCGGAAACGGCCAAGTAATGTTTCGGCGTGAGGTGAAATAAAGTGGCACGAACGACGACATCCTCTCACTAAAAGGCTCTATAGACTGTCCATCGAAATGATGTGAGATCTGCTCAGAAAGTGTTCACTTACTGTCATACCGCATGAGGAAAATTTAGAGGAACTGTCGGCGAGAGACCTGCGAGCGAAGCGTTCGATGATAAAGCGCATAGTGTCGTTTACTGGATATGAATGAGCTCCCCCGGAAATCGGTGGAGAAATTCCTTAAGCGAATTCCATTATGGAGCGCCGCCTTGGAAAAATGTCTTACTTGTAATCATGTCACTAAATATCCTTCAGAGCAAGCTACAGAGAAATTGAGATTCCTTCAATGTAAAAAAAAATTCCTCGAAACGGTAGCTAGGGAAGAACACTGTGTGTTGTGCACTTATGCCATGTGGGCGTTTCGAAATGCCTCAAACATGGGTAATTGAACGTTTATAAATAACGAAATCTACAACATAATAGCGTACTGGCAGACAAAATAAGATCTTCAAAGGCAGAGACCAATGATGGAGTATAAGGAGAGTTATAACAACAAAGGTTGAATCAGTGACTGTTAGTAATAACTGAGTATTCGAAACACGTGATAAGAGAACTTCACAGACAAAAAAAAACTACGGAGAGAACTGCTGAAGAGCAAGTATAATGAGGGTGAAGGCTTTGCCTAAGAGGGCACTCGCAAATAGAATCGCAAAAGTTCTCAGGGGGAACTTAAGGAAGCGGGTTGCGGTTCTCCTCTCGACCCCTTTTACAGCACCTTTTTGCGCACGATCACGATCAGAATGAAGATCGTTTTTCTCTGACTGGCATCAACCAGTTGGTCTTCAAGCTCACGGGCTGTCTGCGATGTTCCAGCCCACGAGAAAAAATACTGTTTTTTTTTCTCGCAATCTCGCGTGGCTGGCTGCTCTATGGCTTCTTGCCTCCCGACGTCTGAAAATTACGGAGGCGGTGTTTTATGTCCTTCATTGCCAGTTCACAGTGATTTTTCTCGGCTTTTTTTTCTGGAGCGAAGTTCTATCAGTGCAAGCGGCAGAATGATGTCCTTGCTCTTCGCAGTGAAAGCATGGAATTTTTGCTATCGCGCAATTATCGCCTCCTTCGCATTCGATTCCCAAACTATTTCTGCATCTTTCACGTCTATCGAGATATCCTTTATCTTCCTGTACGGATTCGAGTACATGAGTCAGAGTAATAATGTCCTTTCACTCCACAAAAGGCACATGGCATCTATTTTTCTTAGCCCGATAAATCCCATGTTTATACTCACGAGGTCGGCAAGTCATTTTTCGCGCTAGCTCTGGCCTATGTCGGTCAGTTTGGCTTCGAGTTCTTCGATTTCTCTTTCGAGTGCTCCCCAGGGTGAATATCGGTCGAGGAAATCTTCTACAGGGGGGTCGTACCTGTCGGGCTGGGTCATGGGGGGTCGTACTCTTGAGGGTCAGTAACAGCAGTGGTATCGTGGTGTAGGTAAGAGGGTATAGCGCAGCAGAATATGAAAATATCTGAAAAAAAAACATGGTATTAAATTTTCTTTGCAGGTTCAGTCGCTCCATTCCTCCACCTTCATAAGAAGGGCGTATCTGAAGGCAGTACAAAGAATGAAAGTGCATCCTCGCAAAGAAGACTGCCACATGTGCGCACGCGCTGCAAAGGCACCTCCTCTGCCTATCGCTCGTTCCTTCTCCCTTAATACCTCGCTGAGAGTGACACTGTTGTTAGGGACCCTGTCGCAAAAACGACAACCATGGAGGAAAAGCGCTGGGCAAATGAAGTTGTTCTGCAGGTTGTAGGAGTTACGAAATGCGTTTACTACAATGCAGCCTCTGTCACCTGGTAATGATCATATGACACCTTCGAATCGATTCTGCTAGTTCGAGTGAGGTTAGATGCTTGGCCTATACTCAGACACAACCCGATGATGACGACTGCCCCTTTTCCTATGGCTTATGATGGGAGGATGTTTTCTAGACTCATTTCAAGCGTTGCCATCAATTACATTTGCAATGGTGAAGAAGGGAGCGGATTTTCAGGTGGCTGGATTTGTCCTCGATACATACTCGACGCAGATATCTTCTCAACTAGGAAGTGTTGAAGAAAGCAAAAAAGACCATAAAAAAGCGCAAACCTTCCGCTTTCCAAAACTACCTTCACTTTTTCAGAGTCTCACGTTTTAAGAGAGATATTGCTCTTGAAGTGGCAAAAACTCGTGTGAAAATTTCAGCGTCCTCGACCTTTACTCGACGAAATTTGAGAGACCCTATCTTTCTGCATGGAAGGCTTTTAGAGCAATTTCAGTACTTCTTGGAAACGCGAAATCCAGCTCTATCTAACCCTACCTCAAACTGCTTTGAAGGTTATTAAATGGAAAAATGCAACCTTTTCATCAAGGGTGAAGATTTCGACGGTTTTTTTTTTCGGGATTTCAGCAAATCTGACCCCGTGACAATCGCGCCGCAGCTGCCGTTGAATCGGCCGTTGATTGATACACTCGGCTGTTCCGATATACCCAAGCAGGAATTAAGATTGAATCGCGACCCCGTGCCCTCCAGATTTCTGTGCATTTTTGAACCTGACTTTGAGGTCGCACAAAGTTAATGCCTCTTTCCTCGAGTCGATATTTCAGTAAATCCACAAAAGTGTGCAGCAATGAAAGACAGTGCACAGATGACAAGATGAGGCGTCAATAACATTATTTTGCAGGATTTTTTTTTATTATTTTGAAGGATTTTTTTGATTAATTTATTGAATTAATCTGTTCTGGGGGGTCGTTCCAGGATCTCGATTTCGGAGGGGGGGTCGTACTTCTGCGACCACGTACTCGACACGATTTTCACCCTGGTGCTCCCCCTTCATCATCCATTTCTTCGCCTACGACGAGAAGCCCCATAAAACAGTACTTTCTGTCAGTTTTTCTCCCTCTTCGTTAATTTTTGCTTGAATCTCAATAGAAACTATTGTTTATTGCAGTGTTCGTTGGGCTGCTTTCAGCCGCTAAACTTTTCCGCGCATTTCTTTAATTGTCTCATTGACTGACTTCAGCGCATTGAGGATTTCTTTTTGAGTGGCCAACGTAAGGTGGCGAAGAAATCTTCGGGTGCTCGGTGATGGTCCTTGATGATCCGTTCCATGTCGGGCTGACTAATGAGCAAAACTGTTCTGCTGCCGGCCTATGAGGTATAAGTCGGGGAATTTCCATTCCCGACTGCCATGCTCTCGAGAGTATAACCTTCGTCGCAACAAGAAAAGTAACAGAAGCATACAACAAACGCAAATGTTCGAGGAGAAATTGGAGGTGTTACTATCGTTTACTTATTTGGGGACGGCACAGCTGGTAATGCCGCTTCAGCTCTTTTTTCGTGTTCTCGTAACGGTTCTCTAAAATGTGAAAGTAAGTATGCTGAAATCTCGGCTGTAAAAGATGTTTTTTTCGCATTCTCAATAATTTCTTTCCTATTTCGCAGATAGCTGTTAACATTCACGTTGTCATAGAGAATTCTCGTTGTTGTGGATAGTCATTCATAAAGAAGAAGTAGCGCCAAAATGTTTGCAAATACCTCGTAGTTCAATTGCCGAATTGCACGAGTCAACAGCAATTGTGATTGTCGAGTACTTGCTTTGCAGTAAAAAAGGAACGCTTGAATGTATGCGAATGGGTTGAAGAATACATATCGAGATTAATGAAGTACTCGCAAAGGTTGTACTTCGGAGTTTTTTCGCAAGAGTTCTGCATCCTGCTCTTGCTATTCGCTCAAACACGGGAAGGTCAGAATCGCTCCAAATTTTGCAAATGAGTGGTACCTTGAGTCGGTTTTGATAAGGCAATCATAAGAACCTGCACTTCTTTCGCAATTTGTGCGAAATGGTCGAGTGAGGACAAAGGCGTCTAAAATAAGAGAGGTCCAGAGAGGAAATGGCGTTATTGTGCTTTCGCAGAAAGTACTGCATCAAATGGCCAGCGCGACGGTTATAATGGAATTCGCCCTTACACATCCTTCTGCAAATGATGAACATCTAATAAAGCACAAATTATAATTTTTTCTCATATAATCTAAGATTTGAGGCGCGACCACTGAAGATAGGGTTCACCTAATGAGAGTCGCGAGCATGTTGAAACGAATGTAGAAGTATTCGCATAGTACCACATAGAAATGAAACATCGAACGAGCAGTAAAGTCATCATTGAGTACACGAGATGAGCGAACAATCATTCTCGCTCGCATTTAAGATGACAAAGAATCGAGCCAATTTTTTTCAAAAAATGTTCCTTTTTTCAAAATCAGGGCTCAAAAAGAGATGAAGTGATGATCGCATAAGTGTGCGTAAGTGAGTATTTCATAAAAGATATAAAAAGTGCGAAGTGATATGGTTTAGAAAGATGAAAGAACATGAAGTGATCCGGATTTACCATGAACGGTTCAAGGATAGATGAAATAGTACGAAATGAGTTGGATTTGTCATGAAGTGGTTGAAGGAGAAATGAAATATTAGTTATTAGTGGTTGACGCCAGTCGCAAACGTGACGTTCTTTTTCCTTTCATTTTTCTTGAAGACTAGTACTTGGGACTTCCTTGATTTCTTCGACACTTTTGACGCGTCCATCTTCTTTTTGGGTGCCGCAAACCTCGTTATAGCTATACCCGATTTCGATGTTTTACCTTCCTTTAGTAGTCCGTCAAGAGCCTTGCTGAGTGGTTTACTTACCTGCTTTCGCTCGAGGTGCCAAACTCTTTCTAAAAAAATTCCAGATCATCTTTTGTAGCTCCCCGTTCGCTTTGGGGAACGAGGCTTTCACACAAATGTTTAATGTCCTTGTATGGAGACACATCGATTTTTTCCGTTTGTTTTGTTCGTATCATCTTTAGACTCTTCGAGTTGCTCCAAAGTTGAGATGCGAGTTATCAAGTCTGTGATGGCAACCGATAATGACTGCATCTGTGCTTGCTGACACTTCACTCCCATATGAACGTTGGAGATCGCCCCTTGGAAGTCCGATTTCATTTCATCTATATCTTTTTTCCAAACCAGCGAGTGTCAGGCTCTTCGATTCCTACGGATAATAATAAATAATACCAAGTACATACATGTAACGTGAAATAATTATAGGGGAGAAGAACTAGTGCGATTTAACGCTGGTATGTCATGAAAATTCGATTGAGAAGAAATGAAATAGTACAGAACGACATGGGTATACCCAGAAATGGCTCGAGGAGTTTTTGCGCATCAGCAGCGAATTGATTGCGACATGATAAATGATGAAATGAACATGAACGAAATAGGAATGATGATACCCCAAATCGAAATTAATTTGTGAGGCTGGCAGAAGTTACAATATCGAAAGGGAACATCGAAAGGGTTCAGAAGTTTCCTCTTCAATTCAAGAAGCCTAACTAATAAACTCCACCATCTCCAATTCTTCCTCGATATTTATAATCCTGATCTAGTTTTTATTACTGAAACATGGTTGTCTTCTAAAATTTCGGATACTGAGGTTCTTTCTGGTAGACCGTACAACATTTTTAGGTTTGACCGAAAAAGCCATAGAGGAGGCGGTGTTTGTTGTATAGCTAAAGATACTATTCATCTTACAACCGTTGCTGCGCCCTCTTGCCTAAGCTCGGAGCTTCTTTGCCTCGATGGGTTCGATACGTCTCTTCCTCTAACATACAGAGTTGTGTTAATTTACCGGCCACCGAGCTCCAATTTGGATGACGATGAAAAGCTCATTGATGCTCTGCTGAACTTATGCATCTCAACCGAGAATCTTATCATTTTGGGAGACTTCAACCTTGAAATCGACTGGTCATTTAAAAAGGCTAGAAATTCGGCGTCTTCAAAATTTCTTCAGTTTTTCGAATGCTACAACCTCGTTCAACATGTATCCCAGCCAACACGGGGTGAATCAGTTTTAGATATAGTTCTGGATAACACCTCGCTTGTCAAAAATGTGCATGTAGGTCCACCATTTGCCACGTCCGATCACAACGTTGTTTCTTTCGAGGTTTCTGTGCCGTCGCATAAGCCTAAACTGCTCCCTCTGCCAAATTACATAAAGACCGACTACGTTGCTCTTTCTCAGTACTTATCCTCAATTGATTGGTGGGGGGCCTTCGAGGGATATCATTCACGACCTGTATAAAAGATTTTGCCGTACTTTGTATGCTGCTTTGGCTGCTCACGTGCCTTTTGAGTCTATGGAGGTACCCAGGATACGACACCCGAAGCACATTTACAATCTATTGGCTTCAAAAATCCAGACTGTTCAAAAAATTGCAAGTCTCCCCTCTGTCCATTCCCCTTCACAAGCGAACCTGCAGTGAACTAGATTATCACATACGTAGATCTCTGGCATCCAGAGAAAAACGCCTATCTTCCAGTGCAAATATGAAAACTTTGTTTGCTCTCATCAAAAGTAAAATGAGGCCGCAGTCAAACATACCGATATTGCTAGATGATGCTGGTACTCCATGCCTAACTGATGTTCAGAAAGCTGAAGCGCTTGCAAGTTTTTTCGCGTCAGTTTATGCTACGCCTATGCTGCTACTCCCCCCCCCCTCCGAAATCGAGATCCTGGAACGACCCCCCAAAACAGAGCAAATTAATTCAATTAATTAATCAAAAAAATCCTTCAAAATAATTAAAAAAATCCTGCAAAATAATGTTATTGACGCCTCATCTTGTCATCTGTGCATTGTCTTTCATTGCTGCACACTTTTGTGTATTTACTGAAATATCGATTCGAGGAAAGAGGCATTAACTTTGTGCGACCTCAAAGTCAGGTTCAAAAATGCACAGAAATCTGGATGGCACGGGGTCGCGATTCAATCTTAATTCCTGCTTGGGTATATCGGAACAGCCGAGTGTATCAATCAACGGGCGATTCAACGGCAGCTGCGGCGCGATTGTTACGGGGTCAGATTTGCTCAAATCCCGAAAAAAAAACTGTCGAAATCTTCACCCTTGATGAAAAGGTTGCATTTTTCCATTTAATAACCTCTAAAATTGCTCTAAAAGCCTTCCATGCAGAAAGATAGGGTCTCTCAAATTTTGTCGAGTAAACGTCGAGGAAGTTGCTGAAATTTTCATGGTAGTTTTTGCCACTTCAAAAACAATATCTCTCTTATGTCGTAAGGTCCTGAAAAAGGGAGAATACTTCTGGAAAGCGGAAGGTTTGCGCTTTCTGAAGCTCTTCTAGCTTTCTTCTACTTTTCCCAGTTGAGAAGATATTTGCGTCGAGTATGTAACGAGGACGAATCCGGCCACCTGAAAATTCGCTTGCTCCTTCACCATTGCAAGTGTAATTGTTGGCAACGCTTGAAATGGGTCTAGAAAACATCCTCCTAACATAAGCAATAGGAAAAGGGGCAATCCTTATCATCGAATTTTGTTTGAGTATAGGCCATGCATCCGACCCACTCGAAGTTGCAGAATCGATTAGAAGGTGTCATATGATCATGACCAGTTGACAGAAGCTGCGTTGAAGTAAACGCATTTGGTACCTCCTACAACCTAAAGAACAACTTCATTTGTCCAGCGCTTTTCCTCCACGGTTGTCGTTTTTGCGATAGGGTCCCTAACAACAGTGTCATTCTCAGCGAGGTATAAGGAGTAGGAGCGAGCGATAGGCAGAGAATGTGCCTTTGCAGTGCGTGCGCACATGTGGCAGTCTTCTTTGCGGGGATGCACTTTCATTCTTTGTACTGCCTTCGAATGCGCCCTTCTCATGAAGGACTGGAGCGACTGAACCTGCAAAGAAATTTTAATATCATGTTTTTTCTCAGATATTTTCATTTTCTGCTGCGCTATAGCCTCTTACCTATCTGCACCACGATACCACCGCTGTTATTGACTCCCAAGGGTACCACCCCCCATGAAACAGCCCGACAAGTAACGACCGCCTGTCGAGGATTTCCTCGACCGATATTCACCCTGATCTAGAGACGGGGCTGCAAGACGGCTTGAAAAGAGCAGTGTCCTGCAGTGCAAATTCACGCTCTAGTGTTGTCCAGGAGCTCTGCACCGTGCAGCTGTCAAAGAGTCACACAGACAAGAGCTCCATGGGAGCATCAGAGCATGCAGAGCATTATAAGTCTCACTATCAGCCATTATTCCTAATACACGGACGGCGCTTTCACTCGACAGCATAGATCAAGATTACAATAGCCAAAAACTTCAGCGTAGTGCAAAAACATGGTCTGTCTTCGAAAAGGAGAACAAAGTGTGGAGCAGTTTATGAAGAAGTGAAACAACAGTACCATATGACAGCACATTGCAACTCAGTCACGATACTAACGCCTTCTCAGGAAAACGGAGTACTTTCAAATGCGAGTGCAACTTCTGTCCACAGACAGGTGCACGGTGTACACCCGAGCAGGCGTTTTCCCATAAAACGCCTTCTCTGTCAGCGGCCGTGAGCAGACAGACTTCCTGAAGAGAACTTCGATGCTTTCAAATCACATCTAAGCGGAACAATGTGTAGCGAATTTGCTGAATTGAATTCTAAGACCCCTCAAGAAAATTGAGGCAAAAGAAAGAAGTTCAGGGAAATTTACACTTGTTTCGAAGGACTCTTTGAGTAGATTCTGACAGTCTTTACCGCTTCTCATCGCATCAACTTTGAAGGAAGTTATCGGCCTTTGAACTGCATAGTCGCGGTCCAGGAAAATGGCTTGAAAAAAAAACCAAGGTGGAAAAAAAGTAACGACGGGACCATTTTTTAAGCGAGTGATTATTCTAGAAAGTTTTAGCACTTGTTCAAAAGCTCTAGTCTTCTAGTTCCTAATTAGCCTTAAACATCTGCAAAAAATTGATCATGAAGAAAGTTATGAACGTCTGAATGTCGAACTCGCGCCTTCTCAAAGCCACAACCCCCCCAAAAACGTAACAACGGACTTTTTTTAAGAGAATTCTCGCTGGAAAAATTTAAGGCGCTTTTTTGAAAGCGCTAATCTTCTAGTTGCTAATTAGCCTAAGACATCTTCAAAAAGTTGGGTTGAAGAAAGTTATGAATGTTTGAATGTCTAAAACTCGCGTGTGCACAAAAAACGGAACAACGGGACGATTTTTTGGAGTATTGAACATTCGTAACATTTTAGATATACTTTAGGAAGAAAACAATTTAAATTTTTGAAATTTTGGTGTCCGGTTCCATGAAACCTCTTCTGAAGAAAAATACAACTTTCTGAATGGAGGGGTTTAGAGTGCAACGTGATTGCTACGAAATTCAGTTTTTCAGATTATAAAATAAGGAAAATTGGGAGATTTCTGAAAATAGAAATCTTCGTGATTATTTTCATGTACTGGTTTACGCAAAAATTTAGAAATTTCTTCTATTGAATGAATAAAACTTCATGTTGCTGCGATTTCCTCCTCTGAGCGAGACAGAGCGCGCGGATTGACCATGGTCCACCACTTCTCCATATTGGTGACTGCCCACACATCAACGATGAATATTAAATTATGTGGAACACATAATAGTTAATACGGGGGGTCGTACCGATACCCTCCGAAGAGGAAGGGGTCATAAAAAAATGTGTACAAGTGTACAGTACATTATAAGTGTTTGGGGGGGTCGAGACTCGTCAAAAGGAGGGGGGTCGTAAAATTTTCGGAATTAGTCCAACGTGACGGTTGACCCTGCGTGCGAATAAGCTCTTCCGTCCAATTTCTTACGAAGCTTCCCCACTCGCCAGCACATGGTATGAAAACCATTTTTGGCCCACCTCACGTTATTTTCAATACAAATATGCTGGAACTTTTTACTATACAATATTTTGTTAATAATCTATAGTAATGAAGTTGTGTTAGTGAACAGAATACTCTACGTTGGACGTGTTAAAGCTGATGCGTGGAAAACCTACTTTTGTTCCTTTTTGATTCATGCACATGCAGAGTCAACCGTGCGTTGCGCAGTTCTCAACGACACGTTGAGAGATCCTCAAAGCACGCTGTATGGGCGGAGAGCAGAAACGGCTCGGACATGCGAGTGTGAATTTTTGGCCACTGACCAATGGCGAAAAGTATTTATCACTTCTCAGAGTATCAGCTCAAATTTTCCTTCCCATCAACAGAGAGTGGAGATTGAACTGCAGTAAATCTGTCCATCGTCCTATATATAATTCGCTAATGGTAAGTATGTCTGTGCGTGTGTATGTGTTTTGTGTCTGTTTGTCACGAAACTCATACCGCCGTTTCGCTGCAACAGTGGAGCGCTGTATTTCAAGCATGTTGTGGCGGGTGGGACGATAACATATATGGTGGGGGACAGATGATGATAACGGTTGATATGATCCGATAAGAGGCGTCAATACACCAATTTCACGATATCCATAGCGCATAGCGTTCCAGCATCAGTGAGGCGTTGGCTCCAGGAAGCCATTTGAAGGGGGAGGACCGGATCATTTTTGGTGGGGGTCAGAAAGTGCCAACGGCTGATAAGGGCCGATAATAACGATATGCGCAAGAATATAGAGGTCACTCAAAACCGGGCTTTACATTAGGCACTTCAATGTTCTTTCATTTGCGTTGTTATCCAGCCCAAAATATGACATCATTAGACTGCTCTCCCCAGAATTCCTACGAAGGTATGGTGGATGTTCGGATAAATACGATAAGTAGTTGGGTGTTTCTATATTCTAATATTCCAACATCAAACACGATCCGATAGCTAAATTACGCTGGCATTTGAAGCATGGTGGTTGTTTACAACGCCACTTCAGCTCCGCGCTCCACTGCACACCAAACGGTGAGCTTCTGCAGAGATGGGCAGTCTATGGAACGATCAGCTAACGAGTCGTATCGGGTGTCCTGCTTTACCTAGACCTTCCGTTTTATGCGCTCGGTAGCGTGCTGAGCTAAGCTGATGAAGAATACAAGCCACTGATACACTCAGTCAATTTCTTTTTTATTACGGTTGAGTTTTTTTTTAATTTTCTTCTAACAGAGCGTCCATGCAGCAGTGGCTAAATTGATGGCTAAAGGCTGATAATTAGCAAATAATGAATGGTCACGCTCCGCGTCTGCCGGTGTATTCGCGCACTGACCAGTGAGGACCGCAGGATCAACCGTCGTGTTCGCACTTTTCCAAATATTTTGCGACCCACCCCCCCCCCTTAAAGAGTCTACTTGACCCCATACTGCCATTAGAAGGCCTCCGCGTATGGCACTCCTTTCCTACGTCCGTGAATTGGTACGAAGAAGTGGCAAGTACATCAATTTTGTCTTGTTTACCATGATTTCATAAAACTTCTCGCCAATCTCATCGAAAACACGTGAAGTACAACCTTCTTATATGACTTCCGTTCATTAACCTTACTCAACCCCCAAATGCGACCCCCTATCCCAATTTTGCAAATGCCACCTACCCGTTCGAGTAGTGCGAACGGACGATTAATCCTGGACGTCACTAGAGCGTTGCAGTTAGCCAGGTCTACTGTAATCGATGGCAAGGTCTTTCAGGAAGTACATCAACTTTCCCTACCTAAGAACACGTCCAACGTAGAGTATTTTGTTCACTAACACAACTTCATTACTATAGATTATTAACATAATATTGTATAGTAAAAAGTTCCAGCATACTGTGTATTGAAAATAACGTGAGGTGGGCCAAAAATGGTTTTCATACCATGTACTGGCGAGTGGGGAAGCTTCATAAGAAATTGGACGGAAGAGCTTATTCGCGCGCAGGGTCAACCGTCACGTTGGACTAATTCCGAAAATTTTACGACCCCCCTCATTTTGACGAGTCTTGAAACGACCCCCCCCCCAAACACTTATAATGTACTGTGCACTTCGTAATTGTAGGTGTATTTGCGTACTACTTCGTACTACTGTTCGAGCGTTACACCAGATTGAGCGCAGTAGCGTCGTGTTTGCATTGGCGCGCACAATCTTTCACTCGGCCTCATAGACCAAAGCAGACTACTAATTTTCAAATGAGTGTAATTCTGTTTAACTTCAATGTTCTTCAAAACGCCAAGTAGATTTGTAATCTACGAGACTGCCAGTTTCAGAAAACCACCACGTTTATGTTGTATCTCCCAAACACTTTTATTTATAGGGCAGAAAATTAAGAATTTACAGAAATGCGCACTTCTTCATCTGAAAGGTTGTAATTTTATTCGAATATGAAAGTGTGAGAAGTGGTAAGAAAATTTTGAAACTCCAGATTGTTTTTTTTCCTGAAAAGTATTCAAACCTTTGAGAAGTTCATTTTCTTCAAAAAAATCGCCCCGTTGGAAAGTTTTTGTGCACAACCGGGTTTTTTGCTTTCAATGACTATGACTTTCTTTGAAAAGAACCTTTCGCAATTACTGTCCCCCTGAGATAAACTAGAAGGTTAGAGCTTTCTAACGAATACTTGAACTCTTTTCAGAAGTGGTTTAGTCAAAAAATCGCCCCGTTGGACCGTTTTGGGTAAATCGCGAACCGATTTTTGGCAGACCTCTGGTTTTTTGGCTTTGAATTGTTATAACTTTCTTCAGAGTCAACTTTTTGCAGATTTTTCCCCTCTGGAAGGAACTAGGAGATCAGAGCTTTCGGATGAGTGCTTGAACTAGTTACCACAATGTCCCGTTCAAAAAACCGTCCCGTTGGACCGTTTTTTTTTCATGAATTTTTGGAGCTACTCTTCTGAAAACACGAGTTTTCAACACTCGAACATTCACAGCTGCTATCATCCGAGCGAAGTGACAGCAGTGCATTCTATCTCGTCCTCTCGGCGCCGTTTGGCGCAGCTGTGACGTCACCTGCACGCGCTCGCGTCCGCGCCGCGGTGAGCTTTTATCCCCTGCCGGTTAGAAGCCTCGCTCGTTGAGAGGGAGCAGAGTGAGCTTCGCAACGAGCCGCCAACTCTTCTAACCCAATAACTACTTTGTGGCTGAAGTAGGTGCCTTAACAGCCCCAAATAAACGAAGAGTCTGCGCCCGAACGAAGAGTAGCGAGCAGAAAGGACCCTCCTCGTCAGCTGAGAATAAAGGACGCCTCTGGTGGGTGACCGCCCAATCTACGAACGACCCGCCTCCACCACCGCCAGAAGTCAACGTCAACATCATAATTGTCATTTGGAACGTGTACCTGCACAGGATGATGGCTCTGCATATAAAACTCTGTGAGGTCATTCTGCACAACGTCCATTCCCATCACAGTACCAGGCACTGATGCCTTCACACCTTAACGTTCAATTCATAATACAACACATCACTGGCTAAAGGATTCCGCGCATTCAGTGAGCATTTAGAGCACTGGGTGTTTCAAAACTGAAAACAAAGCAAAAATGATAGGTGCATCAAAACGTGAAGAAATCTGAAAAAACCAAGCGCTCGTGCTTGTGTCCACACAAACTAAGACTGGAATATTTCCCGAAAACTATCTCATCAGAAAAGATACACTCCATCGCACTCCTTAGAGCATAAAAACCACTGCAGGAACGACAGTCTAGCCGCTGCTCAACGAAGAAAAAGCTCAAGCATTCTGCCGATAATCCATTCACTCTAAGGTATTCGCAGTAGCAGACTACTACAACGCCCCACACTTGAAATCGCTCTCATTTGAAAGTCCTGGAGGCAGCAAATACGTTCATATCCATACAGATCATCCATACATTTTAAAGACGTTGCTCACAGTGCCTCAAAGCGAAAGCTGTCAACTAACCAGCATTTTTAGCGAAGAAGTGTGCTTTGCGTGGTTTGGTGGTCACAACCACTGTGAATCTCGGAACCCATGAGTTTCTCCCGTGAAGTCTTCCGAATTCCGCAGGCCTGCTTTATGGCTTTGAATTCGTCCTCAATAACCTGCGATACGTCTACTTTTACTTAATACTCTTTAAACGAAAAAGAAGTGCAGTACCATCCTGTAATGTGTTTCTGACACACCGCTTCTCATCACGAGAACAAAGTCTGGCCATTTTTTCCAATTTTTGATGAACAAACCGAGCATCCATTTACCGCGCATGTTCAAAACGTAAGTATCAACCTGACATGTATTACGTTAAAACCAACTGAGTGCGGCAAGTATTTCTATTATAATAACCCCGATGTAAGCATACCTGCTCGCCGCGTGGTGTCTGGTAGTGGTAGTCGCCAATGAATACAGCCACACTGGATGAGAACTGCGAAACAAGTGTTTCAACGATAAAGCCAAGCACTAAATATCGGAGAGATGTTTCGGAGATAGAGCTCACCCCAACAACACTTGGCTTCTGTAGCGGCATCTTGTTCATGAGTTCATCACGTGTCCCAGGATGAGCAACGTCATAACCAATTATCAGGGTTTTTTCTGTTGAAATCCATATATTTTGCCTGAAGACATCAGTCAAAATGGTGCAGCGTGGTGAGTCTATCGGTCAGAAATTCCTTCGAGTTGCACTGCTCTACTTGCAGTAATTTTCAAAATCAAGGAACAATAGGACTTTTTGCTCGAGCTTTCTCCAGAGGTGAAAACTTGTAGTATCATATTGCAAAAGGTACACTCCCGTGAAATCGAATTTTATTGCAAAAGTAAGGACCATCAAAATGGCAAGTTTCACCCTTGAAGCTTTAAATGGTCTCACTCAATACAATAGCCTGGTAATGCCTACATTTGTATTGCCAGAATTGAGCAAGATTGAGTAATCGAAAAAAACAAGTGAACTGGAACTTACGGAAAACTTTCATGTACCACTTGTAATTCATGCTACCAAGTTTGACATTCAATTTTGGAACGAAGTTTTCGCAACAATGTAGCTCCCTGAATGTATACTAATCTCGAACTTCATCTGCAAAGCATGAACGACGTTAGCGAACTGAAGATCTCAAATACAGGGTGCGCCAAAATTACGGAAACAGCGACTTCGAGTTGCCTAGGATGAGCAAGGTGCAGTTCTTTGAAAACAAAAATGCAGTGACGTGCACAGTCCCATTCTGAATCGTCGACATCCATGCAATTTTTGAAATTCTTTGGTTTGTGTTTATACGGGTCCTCAGAAACATCGAGGAACCATCGACTGTGGCACGCAATGTGGCGAGTAGGACTCGTCAAGCTCATTTTAGAACGGTTTCTTCAACGAATCCCTAGACGCAATGTGTTTTATGCGAGCCTCAGCTTCTAGAACGGATCCGACAGCGTACCCTATCAAGCTCAGATCTGAAATGCTGTTCTACCACCGTTTAAGCCGACAAAGTCGAAAAAATCGGTTCTGCATTAATGCTGCACTAGTACTGAACCACCCTTGCCTCGTCAAAACCTACTTGATGGAAGGCCCAGCAACGATTTTCAAAGTGAAAATATACTCAGGATAGCAATGGGCTCTGATAAGTCCAAAAGAGCCCCCTTGATTCCTATCTCTCGTGACATCCAGTAAAACCAGCGCGTCAATCACCTGCAAATTTTATTGCACACAATTCTTAGATTGTTCGTGGTCGCCACAGAAACACGCCCTTCTTATGCAGAATGACTGCATTCAGCTCCCTGTCCCCTGTACTACTTGGAGCATCTATTGATAGCGCTCGGGTATACACCAAAACGATGATAATTGCCGCGTGCCGAAAACCCTCAACATCGATGTCCAATGATTCAGGGACGGTGTCAGTATCAGTCAACCGCTGCAGCTACCATACATTTTGGTGGTTGAACAAGGTAAGCATAAACAATACTACACCACAGTACCAAAACTTGGACAGAAGAAAACAGCATCTGTGAATATCAGTTCAAATTGTTTGCTGATGCGTTGTCTCCGTAATTTTGGCGCACCCTGTAGAATACAGTGACTAGAACTACGTCAAAAGCCAGGGAAAACTTGCAAGCATCGAAGGAGCAGAATTACTAGCTTCATTCAATGACAAGTCCCCTGAATGGAGTTTCCAAGAACTCCTAGTTCCGCATCACGGCACACAACGAACAAAAAACGCTTACGCTGAAAGTGCATGCGCAACGTCTGTTGTCATGAGCTGCGTAGGGATTAGAAACTTGCGCTCCAGTAATTTTAAGTAGTCTGAAATAAATTATATGAGAACAGCCTGCGCATAAATCATAAAAAGGCGTAGTACCATGTGATTCGTTTTCCGCTGAGTCGACAAATATGATGCAAACCGATGTTCTCAACTTTTTTTTCGCGAGTACCTAGAAACCACCAGAATCAAATGCTTCCTTTTTCCAATGCAAATATCATTGATTTGCTTATTAAGGATATGTATTCAATAGAATGAGGAGCTTTTGAAAAAAAACTGTGACGATTTTATGAAAAATTATAAATGCAATATCTCCAGATGGGCAGGGCATACTATTCCCAAATCGGAGGTCGCGTTATGGGTAAGCGGTTTGCACCAGTCCTCACTGTTTGCTTTATGGGTGAAGTAGAACAACCGGTGCTTAAGTGCCTTCCTCCTATGAACTGCAGATATGCTGGGTGGTTGAAAAGTATGGAACGCGACTTTGACCGCTAGCCGGCACCCAGTCGTGGAGTATTTTTGAGTAGCTTGAAAACTCTTCGAAAGCCTCGGAGCTGTGTAAGAAGCTCCACAAGTTGTTTTTCAAAAGTTCATCTTAATTATCGCTATGAAGTTATCCTCGCATCGACCCATGATCAGGAGACTACCTAACGACGGTCTCCGGAGTCGCGACTTCGGGGAGCGACTTGATATTCTGTCTTCTACTCTTCGAAACATCTTCGCAGCTTTCGTACAGGACACATTTCTGGAATCGAAACAAGTGGTGGGTCGAGAACTGTGCATAATCAAAGGTTGGGGCAATGATCTAGAAAAGGAACACTCAAAACGAGGAGCCAGCGTAAGTTTCATAGCTCTTGATCCCAGGATCTGCCGTCAGTCCTCTCAGAAGATCCCGGAAAGCAACTCTATTGTGAACAGTTCCCGTCTCTAACTATGTTGATTTTGAGTAGAGCAGTTCGAATTCAACTGACTTGTAGAATGTAAAAGTTTCTGCGCGAGTCGAGGCGGGACGCATCTCCCTCACGATTCGAGCTAGTGACAAATTTCTGGACTGAATTACATCGCGACCGTCAAAATCAGAGTCAGTTGTTGCGAGAGACGTTCTTTCGATGACGTGAGAGTTTGTGAGGAGGTAATATCCAAAAGTGACGCTCCATTAGTGTTAACTTCATAAAATGCTGTCACTAACTCGATGGACATGCAAAGGACGATGACGAGGTATGGTATGTCGTTCTGAAGTTACGAGCAATTTGCTCGACGTCTATTTGCTCTCCAATGAAGTTGGCCCCTAATACAGGGTGGCTACTAAACATTGGCGCATTGTTAATTGACCATATTTTCAAAAAGAGAATCTATCAAATCCCCAGTGGCTTATCTTTATATACAGTAGAACATAAAAATTCATTACTAGAGAAGATGCTCGGATAGAAGTCTTACGGCGGCGATACAGACTTAGAGTCTCTTCTCAACTGACACCACCGTGGGCCGCAAGCAGTTTTCGTCGAGTTACTTCAACGCTTCCTCCTAGGAGGCTTTAGGGAGGCCGAACTTCGATGTTGCCTCTTCTGCAGGGAGCCCCTCATCGGAAAATCCATTGGGTTCAATCGGGTGAGCTAGATGGCCATCTAGTGACCAGTAGATTGGAAAATGGCGGTCACAGAGCACCAGCGTAGATTTTGCGGCGTGGGGAGGCGCCTAGTCTTGCTGAAGAAAGCACTGACATTTACTGGAGGTCGAAACAGTCCATGGAACGAGCACATCACGTAAAATTGTTTCCTGGCATATCTGGGCGTTACGTTTGATTGACGGATTTGTCCACAAGACAAAAGGTGTCTGGTTGTCGGAAGTAATTCCTGCCTAAATCATGACAGATTTTGGAAATCTGCTCCGTTTGTGCGCACGACGTCGGGCAGGATGCCTGCTAGCCGGATCCTACAATTGCCCTTCCTTTTGCGAATTGTGCGCCAATTCCAGTGTGATGATCTTCTCGCGTCACGTTGACGTCACTTACTTGCGGCCCACGGTGATGTCAGTTGAGAAGAGACTTGAAGCCTGTATCACTGCCGAGGGAGGCCATTTCGAGCACTTTCTTCAGTGATGCATGGATATGTTTTACTGTATATAAGAATAAACTTCTGAATATGTAATACTTTCTCTTTGCAAAAATATATGGTCAATAAACCATGCGCCAATATTTAGTAGCCCCTGTACACTCTCAAACCAACCCAAGCCGCTCTGGACATCACTTCGGCCACTGGAGTAAGGATTGGTGACCTTCCTACCCCCGGCCTCTGACCCGGTAGACTTCTCTATGTGGGTTGTAGACCAAGATCTCAGGAGGCTTAGACAGCTCGGTCGATGCTCTGAATGTAGCGCTTCAGAAGATGTGAGAGGACATCGCCGTTGGCTACCTGCGGCGCACTGCTGATTTTGTCGTTGAACGTAGGAAAGCCTCTGTCAAAGCAGAACTGTCAAACCTAGAGCATCTTTTGTCCTAAGTTATCACATGCCCAACTGTATTTTTCGGTAAAGTTGTCTTTTTAATAGAGCTCCCTTTTTAACTTTTACACTCGAAAACATGGCGTACTATACTTTTAAGCCGCCCCTTATATACGACTGTTTCATTATAACATCAACACATTCTGAAATGCATGAGTGTCCTCGATGAATGAATGAGCAGTACATTCAATTGAAGTACCACACGACGGTTGATTGCTCTACCTCAACAGTTCCAACTATTCAATGGCATTGTTGTAATTGTACCGCAAAAATAGCTCCAGAAACGTTCTTTCACGTTACCTCGGCTCATCCTATTGCCATTAAACAGGCTGTTGTTCACAACATGTTCAAAACAGCGGTAGGGGTGAGTGAGTCACGACATCTAGCTACAGCTACGAAAATAGTTCAGGCAAACGGCTATTCCGTAACAGACCACAAATATGACACTGCCTCAAGAGAGGTACCGCGCCATAGTAAGTTGCTCTTATGTCTACCATTTATCTGAATGAAAAGTACTGTGACTTAACGGAGCGCCAGAAGAGCACAGTTGCATAACGATATCCAATTAGTAAACCTTGACGAGAACATAAGATGCCACTTGGTTCCGGACAGGCTCTACGATAAGTAGTGCGTGTCAGACGATCAGCTGGATAGGAGATTGCGCGCATAGGGGAGTAATTTATCAGATCGAGTGTCAGGTTTGTCACGCAACCTGTATTAGAGAAGTAGAAGGGTTCTAGCAATTCGTATGAAAGAACACCTAGCCATCATGAGGCGCGCTACTCCTTCAACAGTCCTTGGGAGACGCAAGGTTGAGGAGCATGAGGGTATTGAATTCAAAACTAAGGGCACGGTATTGACGAATCAGACGGAAG